CTGGTCCCTGACCGGTTGATGACCTGCTATTCCAAGTTATTTTCTTATCTTTGCAAAATATTATCTTTGTGAAAGGTGAGATTTATGGTATAATGGTTTGCAAAGATAAGAAAATAACTTGGAATAGCAGATCATCAACTGGTCAGGGACCAGTGAATGAAGATGAGGTGCAAAGGTTGGATTATTCATGAATAATCAAAAGGTGGGACTATTGTAAGAAGACCGCTAAAAGGTTGGATTATTAGTTTCCATTTTCCCAATTTAATTTACCGACATGTATTTCAATTCACTGAAAATATTCATTCCCATCTTCGAAAGTTTCTGGAACCGTATGAATTTTCGCCGTTTAACTTCTTGCAACAAAAGCGGATCGGAGGGGATAAAGGAGAAGGAACGGTATAGCTATAGCGGACGACGACCCCAAGAGGATAGCTTGGCGGAGAAGAAAAGATGATTTGGATTGTTTTTACTTATTGGAACGACACCGTATTGGCACCGGCATACCATGCCCATGGTATGCCGGTTGTACGGTATAATTTGCCAACCCACTACGAGCATCATGCTCTCAGCGGTAAAATTCGCATGAACAGTGACGTGGGTGAATAGTGATTTTCTTGTGTGTGTTTCAGTAGCAGGCTGGTGTAACCCCCGTTTAACAAAATGTAACTCATGTTGATAGAAAATGTAACTTGAGTCAAGTTGGAATGTAAGTTGTCTAAAACGAAATATAAGGAAAAAAAACATTGATTCAATGTAAATAATGAAAAATTGATCCAAATAGCCCAATTACATTTTTTAAATAGTGAATACGAAGTGTGTTTTATTTTAAATATTAGGGCTATAAAAATGATATAGCAGGGGTTTATTTCGCAGTGTAACTCACGTACATGAAGATGTAACTTGCGTACATTAAGACGTAACTCGCGTACAGTATGATGTAACTCTAGAAATGTTGAAATGTGAATTAGAGTTTTATTTAATAGTGTAACTTGTGTACATTAAGATGTAAATGGTGTATAAAACGATGTAACTCCGATCCGCTATATATATAAAATCCAATTAACTCCATCAATCAAAGCCTGTTTGATTAATTCGAATGGAGAAATTTATATTAATCTGAATTTTATTAAAAATTAGCCTATTAATATTTAGGTGTTTATTGCTCAAAATACTATAATTGCTCAAAAACTCCATACTTGGAAAAGTTACTCGATTAGCAGGTATATACGTAATTTCATTGATTAAGCAATTCATTGATTCATATGGAGTAGGACTTTGAGTTCTACAACTCCAACAATCCAGCCAAACCCTGGGCTACTTTCTTCTTCCGATTTTTTTGCTCACTGCCTTAGTCATCGAATTGAATTCAGGAGGAGAGATGACTAGGTACAGAGCACAAGATAGTTGTTCAAGCTTGTGTTGATCGGAGATTCTGATAGTAGGTGTTTATTGTGCGGCACCTGGTTTGAGCTTACGGAGGAATAAAGAGTTGGTTGCCTTTTAATTGATAAAACTACGTAGTTTTGGGATCGGTAGACCATGTGCATGGTGCACCGATCCCACGGTATAATTTGCGGGTCAAGATCATTAGCCGAAGGTCCCAGCAAGGCGTGAAGGGGTTCAATTGAAAGCTAAGTACCTAAAAACTCCTTCCATTTATTGATTTTCAGTCATATACTGATCCAAAAAAGTCATGTATTTTAATAATATAGTATCAAACTTTAATCTCAAGGGGCGAGTCATCCGTTAAAAGATCCCGAAAAGCGCGGACTGGCGGATTCGAACTACGAACTTGAGTGGCAAGTTGAGCTAGATTATTAATTTATAATCATTACTTTTAAAGACTTACAAAAAGTCATAAAATGAAATATTTTAATAATATAGCATCAAACTTCAATCTTGAGGGGCGAGTCTTTCGTTAAAAGACACCGAAAAGCGCGTGCTGGCGGATTCGAACTACGAACTTGAATGGCAAGTTGAGCTAGATAATTAATTTATTATCATTATTTTTTGAATAGTGTGTATTTTTTGACATTGAAAAAATGGACTTATGAATTCCGAGCACTCACGTACACCGGCGGACTACTGAAGTCTCGCGCCACGTGTAACGACAAACGGGTGTGGCGATAATAAGCTCCAAATCCAAATGTTATCTAATAAACATTCTAGTTTCTAAGTTCTAAGAGTAATGTGTGCGCCCTAAAATTATTGAGTCATACTCTAGATTAGGCGCGTGTCACGCTCCAATTAAACATAGAAACCTAATTTGAATTCTAGCTTGAAAATTTGAGGCCATTTAATGTAGGCTCAAATCCAATAGCGGATTATAAGCTCAAGAAATTATAATAATTTTATTTGAATGCATAGGTGCAATTAAATGATGACTAGGACCATTTATCATGCCGAGCTACTCACATCTAGAGACTGGTCTCGGCCATCCCCTTAGCAGACGGACATCGCTGCAGCTCCACCTAGGCCGAAGAGCTCACCTCTTTTGCTTCATTTTGGGGGCATCCGGTGTACTTTTTTCCCTCATTAGGATTTTTTCCCACTGGGTTTTTTCCTAATGAGGTTTTTAACTAGGCACCTCCCCATTGTGGATCAAAAGGTGTCGACCCTCGACCCCCCATTGAAGACATCACATGAGACATGCATTAGTGCATTACTCTACCCTCTTCACCTCATTACATTCACCTCAAGGAATGGGGGACTGGAAGAGCGCGGGACTTGGCGCATCCGTTAATCGAAGAGACACAAATTCAAATTTGTCGTAAGGTTCGCCACATGCACCGACGATATCATCACATCACATACAGATTCAGCTGTCACATCAGCTAGTACATATACATAGCTCCCCGCCAATGAGATCAGATCATCGACTTGGGAATCCGAGTGAGGCGCTTCGGCGACGACAACGGTTTACTCACCAGACGACGACAGATCAGCACTAGTCTCTTTCGCCTCAAGTAGTCTCGACTCAGAGAGTGGGGGACTCCTGATAGAGTATATAGACTCAGACCCCCATCTTAGGCATGGACTCGGTTCGGGCCGGGCCCGGTTCGGGCCTTGAACCGGCCGGGCCTCGGTTCACGGTTTGGGAGGCCCGGAACCGGCCCGGGTAACCCCGGGTCCGGTTCGGGCCGGGCCGCCCGCCCGGTTTACGGGCCGGGCCCGGTTCGGGCCGGTCCTTTTAATTTTTTTTTTATATTCTATACTATATAATTATAATAATTGTTATTAAAAACAAAATTCAAGTGCATTTATTTGAAATAGGAAGTACATTTGAGAATTGAGGAAAAAATAACAATATGAAATACATTTTCGAATAAATATCAATTGGGATTTTCGCCACCGTTGGTTGTTGTTTTACCTTTGTCACATGACTTCATATGTTTCACTGGCATCCCGACTCCGTGTGAACGCCCCAAGCAACACTCTTTCTTGCACCACTTGCAAGTTGCCCACCACAGTCCGGTCTTCGGGTCCTTCCACTTATCAAAGTTGTTTTGCATAACAGAAGAATTACTTTCCATCTTTAAAATGGTACATGTATAAGTAGAAATGTAGGATAATAAGAGAAGATGAAGATGGAGAAGAGTTGGAGAAGAGGTGTAGAAAATGGTAGAAAATAGATGTATTTATAGATTTTTTTGAACCCCACTCCCACCCCACCACCCCCGCGACCCCCCTGCCCCCCACCCTAAGCCCCAACGGCTATATAGCCCTTTGGGAGCAATCTCCCACTTCAAAATGTTTTAAATTTTTTTTTTTTGAAAATTATACATATTGTGTATAATTTACTTAGAAAAGTGATTTGATTTAGAAAAGTGTAAGGAAAGTGATATGATTTAGAAAATTATACATATTGTGTAAGGAAAATGTTTTTAATTTTTTAATTAAGTAAACCTATTTTTACTTAGAAAAGTGATTTGATTTATAATTTACAAATGTTGCAAAATAGGTGTATAAGTTGTAACTTGTAAGTTTGTAACAAATTAATTAATTTACATATTAATATCACATATTTTAATTTAAAAACAGCCTTTAGATTTTACAAAAATAATTTCAAGTTGTAAGTTATAAGTTTGTAAAATTGTAACCAATTAATTAATTTGAGAAGTGCTACATATGAAGTACAAGTTAACAAATGAATTTTATTGAATTGAATTATTGAATTGATGTACACAATAATATAAAATAATTCAAGTATATTTATTTCAAATAAGAAGTACAATTGAGAATTAGGATGCATTTAAAATATGTAATACATTTTGAAATAAAAAATCAATCGAAATCTCCGCCTTCGGTGGTTGTTTCCTCCATAAAGTGGCGGGTGGGAGCGATGGTCATTTCTTGAGTTCTTCGTTTGGCCTTCAACCAATCATGGAAGCAAACTAGCGTCTCAAGAGAGTTCGGGCTCAACCTCGTTCTATAATCAGTTAGGACGTTGCCGGCCGCACTAAATTCTTGTTCCACTTGCTAGCACTTGCTTAGCCAGTTTTGATAAAACCGGGAACGTTCTTTCATTGTCCTTCCACCACTTAAGAACGTCAAAATCATCCCCAACTTCATAATCAACATTCAATGTTAGATACAAAGAAAGCTCGTTAATTGAGCTTTGTTCAGTAGCGGGAGTTGCTCTACTTTTTTTCATAAGAGAACCAAATGCAGATTTTAAAAGTGATTTTCCTTTAGATGAAGAAGATGTTCACGGCATGGGAGGGGGTGCATTACCATATTGTGCATAAAATTCATTATACAATTGATGAAATAAATTACTAACCTCGTTGTATTCTTGTTTAGGGTCGATGGGATTATCATCGAACTCTTGAGTTGGAAAAAAACAATTATAATAGTAATCTATACAAGTTGGCAACGCGGCAAGTCTATAACGAGGATCAAGAACAAATGCAATACCATATATATGCGGAACATGTGAATAATATTTTAAAAAATTTTGTTTCATGAAATCACAAAAATAACTAACGTAAGCGGCATCGGAAAATTCTAAAAATGCGCCGGCGAGATTAACAGCTTCAACAAAAAATTCGTTTGCGGTAGGTTTATATACATGACTAAAAGTTTGAGTTGCGTTATTAAAATATACCAAAACATTAACAATTTTTTCACAAGTGTCGATGTCAGCCGGGTTTATAATATAGTTACAAGTTTGCCTTAAAAAAGCAGGAAAATGATCTTTATATCTAATAAGTACTTGAATTAAGTTATAAGTACTATTCCAACGAATAGACAAATCTTTAGGAAAAGCACAATAATTGACACGTCTTTCCTTCAAATATTGCCGCCATTGCAATTTTAGTGGAGTGTTAGCCCAAATCAATTTAATTCCCCCCTTCACTACCTCCAAAGCATGTTCTAATGCCGCTAATCCATCTTGTACACACAAATTTAGAATATGACATGCACAATGTTGATGAAAAAACCTACCCATCAATGTAGAAGCACCACACAATTCACGCAATCTAGGTATAGCAGCATTATTATTACTAGCATTATCAAAACCTACAGCAAACACCTTATCAAGCAAATTATACTCAATTAAAATACGCTCAATGAGAATATAAATATTATCAGCAGTATGACGATCATTGAATTCACGAAAAGCAAGAACACGTTTATGCATATTCCAATCATCATCAATATAATGTGCAGTAAGACCCAAATAATATAAATGATGATAAGTATCCTCCCATATATCGCTACAAATACTAACACGTCCATTAAAGTTTGCGAAAAATGTTTGTAAATTTTCTTTTTCGAAGTTATATTGCCTTATAACTTCTTTTTTAATCGTTTTGCGACTATAATTTCTAAATTGAGGATTTAAAGTGCCTTGAGCATAATCTCTTAAAGCAAGACTTTCGGAAAAAATATAGGGTAAATTTTCTTCAACAATTAAATGAGACATACCAGTCAAATGTTTTTGATCATCATAGGAGAAATTACCAAAGGGTTGAGAATTTGCAAACCTCGATATTTGTGTTTGCTTCCCCTTGCCCTTGTCTATTTTCGCATACTCCACAAGATGGGCGGACTTAAGATGCCTTGTGAGACTCCCGTATCCGCCAGAAGTTCCCAAGCTATACTCTTTGCCGCAATGATTGCAACTTGCGTACCATTTTTCGGTATTTTTGTCTTTCCTTTTTGTAAAATTGTTTTCAATAATAGGAGATTTAGATTTCTTACCAGTTTGGGTTGAACCGCCCTCTTCCTCCAAGTCTTGCTCATCATCCGGGGTGCCGTGAGTCCCGTCGCCCCCCACGTCCTCCTCCGCATCGTCATCCTCGAGCTCCTCTTCATCAATGGTTGTCGGGATGGGTTGTTCTTGTGCAAAGCGTGGATCGTTTTGGGACAATAGGTTTTGTAGATGCTCGTCGGACATCATCATATCATCTCTCCGTTGGTAATCCGTTTCAAAATCATCTCGACTTTGAAAAGAAGACTCGGCCCGCGCTTTACCTTTGCCTTTGCGTGAAGTAGGACGAGTCGACGCAATCTCCCTCTTGCGGTTGCGTTGGAGATTACCCACATCTACAGAATGTCTACCACGTTCCATCTTTAAAATTGAACAAATATTAAATGATATCAAATATTTTATATGAGAAATGTAAAAATTAACTAGTTTTTTTTTACTTTAATGAGCAATGTACAAATTAACTAATATTAATATGAGAAATGTAACAATTAGGTAGTTTAACTAATATTAATATGACAAATTTAACAATTAACTACTTTAGGTAGTTTTTAAAATGACAAATGTAAAAATTTACTAGTTATTTTTACCTTAATGAGAAATGTATACTTTAACTAATATTAATATGACAAATGTAAAAATGTACTACTTTTTTTACTTTAATGAGAAATGTAGCAAGTAACTAATATTAATATGAAAAATGTACCAATTAAGTAGTTTAACTAATATTATTATGACAAATGTAAAACTTAACTAGTTTTTTTTACTTTAATGAGCAATGTATGAAATAACTAATTTTAATATGACAAATGAAACAATTAAGTACTTTAACTAATTGAAATATGACAAATGTAAAAATATACTACTTTAACTATTTTTTTCTTTAAAGAGAAATGTAGAGAAATGTAACAATTAACTAATTTAATAGATAAATGAGAAGTCTAACAATTAACTACCATTATAAGTAATATATAATATAATGTTTATAGTATATAATATATAAGTATATTACTATAAGATGAGTAATACACTTATACTTAATACTTTAATATATATATATATATAAGTATATATTAACTAAATGTAATATGTAATATGTAAATATAAGTAAATAACAATAGTATGTATAAAAACTAAATATCAAATAAATATGAATGTGTATAAGTATATATAGTATATATAATGTGTAAATATATTATAAGTAATATATAATATAATGTTTATAGTATATAATATATAAGTATATTACTATAAGATGAGTAATACACTTATACTTAATACTTTAATATATATATATAAGTATATATTAACTAAATGTAATATGTAAATATAAGTAAATAACAATAACTAAATATCAAGTGAATATGAATGTGTATAGTATATATACTTATATAGTATATATAATGTGTAAAGAATTATAATATGAATGTGTATAAGTATATATTTATAAATAGATAATTAATATATAAGTAGATATAATAATTATATAAATTATATATATGTAGAAAGAATTTGGAGAAGATGAAGAATGAAGATGATTGAATATGAGAGATTTAGAGTAGAGAATTAGAGAGTAGGAAGAGTTGTAGAAGAAGATGTGTAAAAAATGTAGAGAAAATAGGAGTTTAAATAGATTTTTTTTTATACCCCACCCCCACCCCCCCACCCGACCCCCCACCCCCCTAACCCCCCAGACCCCCCCTCCTATGCTCCCAACGGCTATAGAGCCGTTTGGGAGCCTTCCCAACAGCTAGGAGCCTCTACAAAATTAAAAAAAAAAAAATTAAAAATTTGGCCGTTGGAGGCCCGAACCGGGCCCGGCTCGGCCGGGCCGGTTCCCTAAAATGGAGGCCCGGGCCCGGACCGCTATACCACCGGGCCGGGTGGCCCGAACCGGTTAAGAACCGGGTGACCGGGCCGGTCCGGGCCCGCACAGTAGCGGGCCGGTCCGGTTCCGGGCCGGTTGGCCCGGCCCGAGTCCACCCCTACCCCAGCTCTCACAACTATTGGGCTTGGACAGCAGCCCACACATGCCTTACATATATTATTTTATTATTGTACAATCCAATTTGTATTTGTATCCACTAGATTAGCCTTTTATATTACAGTCCATTTATGTAACCGGGACATCGGGTCTGTCGGGCCCATATTAGAGGCCCAGACCCGGATTTCCCTATTTATACTCCCTTTGGAGCCTCTTGTAATCCTAATTCAATTTTCCACACATTCAACACTATTCATCTTCTTCCTCACCTCTCTAGCTCAAATCTCTCCTAATTATATATGTTTGGATACCTATAATCTATTAGTTAATAAATCACCAATTTGAAATGGGATACATTTGAAACAACCACAATTTTAAAATTAAAAATGCAAGTAAACAAAATTTCTGGATATAAGATTCTCAATAAAGATAAAAAACAATACTCTAATAAGAAACTAAAAGCTGTAAGAAAGATTTTAAGACTTTTATTATTTAATATCTGGGTGTTTTCTTTATATATAAAAGTTGATACGTGTATCTATCATGATATGTGTATCTGAATTTTTAAATAATTACCAAAAGAGTTGGAAACTTTTAATAAATTGCAAATACAGTCCGAAAACGTATGGTGTGCGTATCCTAGAATATATGATATGGGAACGTCCCGTATCAGACTTTCTACATAGTATTCCTAAATGTATGTCCTTGAGTCCTTCTCACAAGTCACAATTCTGCTTACCCCATATACCCCACAATTAACTTCTAACCTTTCAACTCCAAACACATATCCAGGACAATTAACCAATGGTATAAGAAAATAGAAACGTAGCTTTTTGTTTTGGAAATACATGTTCCTTCAAAGTTCATAAAACATCAGAGGTTATTTGTTTGAACAATGCACATTAATTTTTATCAACAGAAATAAATTTGTTTAAACAATGAAGTTGATATGGAAGTCCATGAAAACCAATAAGTTAACTCATCTTCAGCTCATTAGCTTTCCCTCCATTGCTTGTTCTGCAACTTCCCAAAAAAAAAGAGCATGAGGTTGGTGCTTAAAGGGCAGCAGGTATGAGAAGATAGTCCAGCTGAAAGTAAAAACTACAGATAGTGTCTGATAATTCACTCTTACCAGCTCAGTTCTTGGGGTAGATTATGGCTGTACATTGGAAATTCAAAGAGGAACACTACTTTGACCCAGTTTGGCAGCTTCGAGTATATGTTAGTGGGCATTATAATGAGTGGGCTGGAACAAAAAATAAAACCCTTCACTAGAGAATTCCACAAATAAGAGTAAAACATGCTCAAATTCCAAAAATATGAGTGAATGTTTAAAATCCCCTAAATAGGATTTATTATTTGCGATTGGACAAAAATATCCTCATAGGGTTGGAGTACTGCCGCCACTAGATCGCCTGACCGCCGCCAAAGGCCGGCCGGCGAAATGCTGCAAAATATTTTTCTTTTTGATATCATAAAATTCATGCTTACGCAGAGAAATTGTTCATTTTTAGTGGACACAATCAATTACCAACTAAATCTTGATAAGTTAACTTTTTAAATTCTAAAAAGATGCCATCACTGTTGATCTCCCAAAGAGGAGGATATTCCAAAAAATGTCAGTCAATTATTGTGAAAGAAATTTATTTACTTGATCCATGGCCGGATTAAGATAGAATATTTCATCAAAATAATAAACAGTCTTATTTTAGTAACACTCGGCTTCTTTTTTATCATGAATTTGTAAGGAACAGGCCATTTCCACTGACTAGCACCAAGGGCCTTGAAATTAACGACTGTGTAAACCTCTCTTGCCCAGAAGATCTTGGGTGTTAATAGAGAACTAAAGATACTAATTTGATACAGTAAAATTTAAGTACCAAAGGGGGAGAAAAATGGCACCTGGTTTTTCTCTTATAGGATTGATATGCAGGAAGATTTCCATACTTTTTGTTAGCTGATTCCTGCATTGTTTATCCATCAGCATTTTGTTCACGTTTTAAATAAATAAATATAGAAATGCAATAACAGGTGGCGAGGTGACAGTAGTAATACCTCAAGCAATGGTATACCGCTAAGAAAAAGCAGAAGTGAGGTAATAAAAACAGGTCCAAACACAACGAGCCATTCAGCACCTTCTAAGACAGGAGTAGAAGCCACAAATATTCCCCACCAGAGAAAAATCTAGAAAACAAAAACATAATGAAAACTAATCACTCTATCCCAATTTGATTTGCAAAAGTTGACTGGCACAAAAATTAAGGTAATAAATTAAGTTAGGCTCCTTCCAAAAAAAATTAAGTTTGGCTTTACTGTTTTTCCTTTTATCTCATAAAGTAGAGATATTTGAGTAATTGGAAAACGGTAAAAATAAGGGTAAGTTTGTCACTTTATTCAACTTTGCATACCTAAAATAGAAAGTGTAAAATCATTTTGGGAAAACAAAATTGGAAACTGATAAGAACAGAAAAATAAAATCAACGGTATGAACCGTTGCCCGATAATCAAAGCCAAAAGGCTAAACCAACTTTTATTCCCAGATCATCAAGAATGAAGCATACAAGGGGTATAAATAACCCTCTAGGTCTAATAAGAATAGGAATCCTAAATAAATTAATCTAGGAAACTAAATAGAATAGGAAACCTCTAGTTCTAATAGAACTCCTAATTAAATCATTCTAGGAAACTGAATAGAAATAGGAAACCTCTAATTCTAATAAGAATAGAAGTCCTAAATAAATTCTACTAGGAAACAAATTAAATTAGGAAACAAAATAAAAGGAATAATAAATATTAATTAAACAGCCCGCAACCAGCCCACGAAGGTGGGCTCAAGCCCGTCCAGCCTTCGGTAAACCCACGGGGGCTTCTGCCCCTCTTCTTCCAAGCCCAGATTCTGCTTCATATCAGAAACATAGAAAATCAAATTGGGGCGGAGAATTTACGAACATTAAAATGAAAATCCGCAGCAAAAGTATTAATTTCAATAGCCTTGAACTAGATATTCAGCTTCACCAGCATCTCACTGGTAGGATTGGACATTATTTATTCACTGGTTTCTTCTAAAAATCTCCACCTAGTCCAGGATGAGATCCTCTGTTCAAGAACTGTATTTTATTTGGTATTTGAAACGTTAGGTTCTTGTAAATGTCACTACCAAATATTGGCGACCTAATATTTACGTTATTGGTTTGCTATATACATTGATTTTTTTAACTAAACCTCTGGTACAGTTTAAGTACTTAGGCCAAAACTGAATCTTAGACTTTATTGAGACTTAAGTTTCATTCTAAAACGCGTATTTGGAAGGAGACATGAGTGACACAACATCTTACATGTCAATTTTTTTCTTGTACATGTTGGATGTTGGATGACTTTAACAAAGATAACAAAGAACATGGATGCTAACCTCACCCAAGTAGTTGGGATGGCGGGAGCATTTCCAAACTCCAATATCACACCATTTTCCCTGGTTTGTTGGTGCATTCTTAAATGCCAACTTCTGTTGGTCAGCAACAACCTCAAGAATAAACCCACACAGCCACATAATCCATCCAATTATGTCTCTGGCCTCGAGGGACGGCTGATTGTCACTCGCATTAACAACTGTCACAGGTAAACTCACGGTCCATACCCATATGGCCTATAGAAAGATTTAAAAAATATAGGGACAAATATATATGTAGTATCAAATAAATGAAGGTTAGCTTTTAATAGCGGTGAAGAGGCAACTGAACCTGAAGAGTCCAAAATATTGCCAATTTTCCGAGCTGGTCCCGCTTGTCATCGAAACGACGATCCTCCCCCCATTGCAATATCCTATGGGGAAAAACAAATACCCAAAACCGAGTTAGCTTAGGTCCAAGACTTCAAGTTCTGTGGGGTGTATGGGCGAATATTAAGATCTATTGAGACTGAGAGTATATCTTAGACTGGAATAGTCTAATACCTTATATCTTCATTAGTATTTTTAGCATTTGTTTGACGTTGTATGACTTAGGGAGTGTTTGCTTTTGCTTCTACTTAAAAAGAACTTGCAGTTGGTGATGGAGCTAAGAAGGTGCAGCAAATCAGGGAGGAGGGCGCCAAAGAAGGAAGGGCATTCTGGGTTTTGGATGAATAGATTTGCCATTATAATTATCCTTGGAGTTTGAGTTATATACAAAAAAAACAAGCAGTTAAAAACACCCATATACGAACTTCCAGCTTTTGGCTTTAAAGTGGTTTTTTTAGCAGAAGCAGGTGTTTGTGAACATTAATTTCTGCTTTTTTAAGTCAAAAGCTGAAAAGTGCTTTTTTAATCTCTTGCAAACACTCTCTTAGTAGAATCTACTTGAAGCTAGTAAAGACATAGGTCCCACTGGATTTTTTAAATAATTCTCTTAAGGGAAGAAGAAGAGGGTATAAAAAATGACATGTTTATTTGTTATAGTCCGACAAGACTGAATGTCCAACATTGAGCAAAACTTTCTCCAACACTTAATAATAAATTTCCTAAATCTGCTTCTGGTAGGGTATATTCTAATTTCTAGCTTCACAGTAGAAAAAGAGAAAATAACTTTAAATAATACAAACTATCTTACATGAACTAAGAATAATATGTATTTTAAAAATAACTTGTAATAATACCAACTACTTAAATATAGACCAAAAGTGATATAGAGCATTTTTTCACCAAAAGTTACTCGTTTAATTCACCAAAAACTAATACTAAAATCAAATAAGTGACTGTATTTCCGAATATCATCTATTTGATGGTTTGCAACTAGTTTTCGATGTCTTAAATGAATGGATTTCTTGTTAAAAAGTGACTCCATATTATTTTTGTTATACATTCAAATAGTTGGTATTATTAAAAATCATTTTCAAAGTATGTATTATTATTGATTGATGAGTGATAGTTGGTATTATTTAAAGTTATTTTCCCGTAGAAAAATATCCATTTGGAAAGCAAGTCATCAAATCAAAATTGAGTATTTAATTAACAGCGAAAGTGTAGATTCTTCCAAATAAATTACAGAACCAAATCTGTCTACCTCACAAACAGAAACAGTCCAAGCCGAACACCCCAAATCACAACTAGCAGAGATAGAATCACCTGAAATATATTAACGTTGATTAATCACTAATCAATCACTCACCCAACACTTTCTATGACATTTATTTCCTCAAGCAATTTATTTAAAAAATAAAGGTTTACCTGCCGAAAATGCCATGAATCCTTTATAACCAAGGTTAATATGGAAAGTATAACAAAATTTGTGCTTCCTGTTAAAATACACAAATCAATAGACTAGAAAAGAAACATTCATTTTCTGATACAACAACCTCATCCAAGTCTTAGTCCCAAAAGAGTTTGGGGTCCGCTCAAACAATTCTTTTTATTTAATCATTGAAATACCATCCATGAGCAAGTAATTCAGCTCAAATGTAGTAGAACTCACAATAGCTGTGTGGCTGTGTTATTCATACAAATTACATATTGACAGTGGCAGAAAATTGTAATGTATACATACTATATTCTAATGCAAATATATTCTAATGTATAAGTATTATATGTATAAATATTTCTAATCTGTAGGGCAACATTTTAAGTTTGGGCTCTGCAATGTAAAAATTTTTAGTCCCCTAACACTACATTCCTAGCTCAGCCACTGTATAGTGACAAGAAATCTTATTTCCACCCTTCCATAAAAACACATAAAATTGCAGCCTGTGGAAGATTTGACCTCTTTAATCTCTCTGATTAGTAATTATAATACAAAGGGACCATTATGGTCATGTTTGTTTGAGCAAATCGCAGCAAAATGGACCTCAGGGTTTTAATTTTAAACACTCAATGACACATGCGCCATCTTTAATATTACAAAAAGCAGATGAATGAAGAAAATAAAATTCGCCCTTTACAAAGGGAGGAAAGAATGCACTCTTTAATTTATTACCAAAAAACCCAAGGATCGTACCAGCAAAGTCAGTGACTTTATCAAATTTCAGAAGAGCTGTGATTATGAAGAATACCAACTGATAAGCAACCTACCAACAAAAAAGAGGCACCCATCAACACTTCCACTTCGATCAGTATACTTGTTAGAAATTACCTTGAAAAAATGGCGAGGGTGGGGGTGGATGCTTACAGTAAAAATGGCAGTTATGGCCAAGAGATGGGAGTCGATAACAGTGCCCATAGATAGATGGATCGTCTGCTGGCTGCTGCGCTATGGACATTGGACAGGAAGTCACAAGTCACAAACTAAAGAAGACAATGTTTGGATAAAGTCAAAGTCAAAGAAGGCTTGAGGAGATGGGTTCGAATCATTCGAAATATTAGAAGTTTTATATGAAATTTCTTTACAATCTTGCTCTAGTTTACTCATATCAAATTTCAACTAAAAATTCAATCGTGATGGCAATCAAATGAATTTTTGAAAATAACTGTGCAGTTAAACAACGCAGTACATTTCCGAAAATCATTTAACTGTCTTTCCGGTTGAATTTTTTTCTGAAATTTGGTATGAGTAAACTAAACTTAATGAATAAGATTCTCAAAAAAATCATTAAAAAATTCCACTGAAAACCGTCCCAAATGGCGACGGGCGGACAGAGTCTCCTATATAAGGGGTGATTTGCATTTTTTAATTTAGTTCGAGGGCCTATTTGACCTTTATGAAAATATTTACGACAAAGATTACAAATGAATTTCTTGCTTTTGCTTTTGAATTCTCAAAAAACTTTTAATTAGTACCATTATAATAACGTATGGGTTCTATTTATATTATTACCAAAAGATTTTTGCCAACCTTGAATTAGATACAAAATAAGAAAGGTAAAATTTGAGTGATTGAAGTTTGTGCAGAGAAAATCAGAAATGGATATACTACATCCGTCTCATTTTATGTGTCTCATTTGACTTTGGCACAATTATTAATAAAGTGGTTGAAAAGGTAAAAGTTGTGGTTGTGATTTGAGTATAATAAAGTGAAATGTTGTGGACTACATATTTATTTCCAAAAAGGGAAATGTGACACTTATTTTTGAATAACCCAAAAAGGAAAGTAAGATAAGTAAAATGGGACGGAAGGAGTATCTATCATAAAGATTTCAGTTCTCTGACTTAAACCACATTGTACAGTTAATGTAAAGCACTACCAACAGTCACAACATGGTGGTGCTAAGTATCACATAGTAGTAAACAGAGTATGTGGTTCATCATCGCTGGGTCACCAGTGATATCATAAAGACAAAACAGATAGACAAAATTGGAGAAACACAAAGCACTCTTAACTCCCAGGTCACAAAGGATCTTGAAAACAAATTGGAGAAGTCTCGTAGGTACTCTAAGAGACCAAAGTGTAAGTTCTTGTAAGCATAAAGCAAACAGAGAACAAACACCACCAACACCCAAAACGACAAACAGAGTTAACCATAGTCCAAATTTAAAAATCATTTTACAAGACATCAGTTTTTCAGCAGATAAACACTTAGTTCTCATGTCTGCAGGGTTGAACTCCAATGTTATCTTGCACTAGATTACCTGCATCTAAAATATCACGAATAAGGTGGAACCTCACATCTATCCATTTGATTCTATAATGAAAAATAGGATTTTTACATAGTTGAATAACTGACTGATTATCAGACAACACAATTAGGAAGTAGTTGATTTCGTATTGTCTCTACCATTAACATTACTAGAATCAACATAATCACTCTATTTCACACCATCAGGACATTTAGAAAATATCAAACCATGATTAAAAGAAGACTTCAAATATCTCAAAAGCAATTTAAGAGCATTCTGATTAGGCATAGGGGTGGGCAAAAATCCCGGTCCCGGTGTCCCAAACCGAAAAATCCCGATACTGTTCTGAAACTATCCCGATCCATTTAGGACGCAACTATTTCATCCCGAACCGGTCCCGCGCCAATATTAACCGGGACGGGACCGGGATAGCTATAAAATTTCATGTCCCGTCCCGGTGTCCTGTTTGAAATTAATATGTTATTTTAAATTTCTAATGCTATGTAATAGTCAAACCTAATTAAAACTTTTTAGTCCTTAGTCTCCCTAGTGTAATTTTATCATATTTTGTGTCTCTCTTAGTCTTGTTTCTTTTGAAGAAACTCGTGACCTTTAGTTTCAGACGTTGAATTGTATAATAATAAGAAAAAATAAGATTGATGTTACTTTTCTGATTGTATTGACTAGAGTTACTGCAGATAATCAATTTAGTTGTTCTTACATATTACTTTCTTTGTTTTATTAATAAAATATATTTTATGTATAATTTTTTCATAAATTAGCAGAATAAGTCAATTCAACTATTTCACCCACAATGTTATAACTTTTTAGAAGAATCAATCAAGATAAATTCGAGTACTAAATGCCCTCTTAATATTTATATTTATATAAAAGTAAAATCTGTGTATGACCTTAAACAACACAAATTACACAACCACATATAGGGATTACCTCTACGGCTCTACCGAGGACTTTAAACAACCAATTAAGTTCACGGGCCATTCAAATTCATAGAATTTTAAAAATAAATTGAATGGATATGTGGCTAAAGTTGGGAGTCTTGGCCTTCATATCCTGCTGCAAACCATGACTGCTTTTGTAAATTTATGTAATTTCTGTTCAGTGGTCATCATCAATTGGTTGAGAGAATATTTGCAACTACTTCTGCTTAAAAAAAGCACTTTTGGAGATGTAAGGAAAAAGTGGTTAGTAGTAAAAGTTGATAGTGTTTGAGAAAAAAAATGGTTTTGAAAAGTATAAGTTGATAATGTTTGGTAAAATAAGTGCTTTTTGTGTAATAGAAAAGGGAAAAACACTTCACACGCAAATCGAAAAAAAGTAAAAATTGGTAGTGTTTGGTAAGTAAGTGCTTTTTAAGCCAAACGCCGAGAAGTGTTTTTTTAAGTTATTGCAAACACTCCCTAAATGGGTTTGGCCGTTTGGGCAATTCTATAATCGTGAGATCTAATTTTTAGATTAACACAACTTGGGTTGGGACGGTCTGGGGTTATAGGGGGCAATAGATTATTTCTATTGGGGGCAAGTTCTTGAGCTCCTAATCTATCTAAATCTAAATCTAAAATCTTATAAACATCAATGGGGGTTAGGGTATTTTAGGTGTATTAAATGTGTTGGTGTAACACAAAGCAACATGCTCTTGTACATTATGCTCCCATCATTATACCACATATTTAATTCTACTACTGTCGTTAAATCCAAGCCTTAGCCGTCTCTACCTTCAGTCTTCATGTTTTTTTTTAAGAACCGTCTTCATGTTGTTCCTTTTGTTTTTACTTTACTTTTTCATTTAATAGTTTCATTTAATTTTGAATATTAAATTCAATTTTTGTGGTGGCCATACTCTCTAAATTGGAAGGGACAAACCGTTGTAGCCTAGATGTGAGTTGGATGAACGTTATCAAAGACCAATTATCCCACTCACCTTTATTATTATTAGTAGTAGTACTTGGATTTCATATGAATAGTATGTGATTTTTTTGTATATAACCAAACATTCCAGCTCAGCTGGTTGTGAGGTTATCATGCCTAACGAGAGGGTTATCTTTCGTATGAAGGAACATGTCAAATATAAAAAATAAGTACGGAGTAATAGACTAATATATTTAGGAAATTTGCCTAATATCTATTTAGGAATCTGCCTAATATCTATTTAGGAATATTTTGTATTTCGGCAACTCTTCTATTATAAATACTAGTAAACTCACTCGTGCGATGCACGGTTTGAGAATTTTCTCTCAAATTTATGTGTGCTTAGTGATTCAAATCATACTATCAATTGATGACATCATCTATATATCTTCATGTAATACTGATGTACATCAAAACATTATACAAAACACACTTATAATATTATGGTCAAAATGAGAGTACTAAGCATTACTTAAAAGATAAAAAAATCCAACAAATACGTTGAAACCATAACATTTTAAATATGCATTTAATGTAGACCTAAACATAGTTGAACACTTCTTTGAATACAACATTCTGAGTCTTGTCAGTGGTTCCTTCATCTTCATCAACAATTAGAATTTTCAAACCACAACGATTGGTAACTCTTGATACTGCAATATACAACTGTCTGTGGGTAAATACCGGGTTTTTCAACAACAGCCCAACCCGGGACAAAGATTGATCTTGACTTTTATTTATACTCATAGCATATGAAGTCATAACAGGATATTGTCGCCAATGAAATTTCAAAGGCAAGCTGGCATTGGATGGCGTCAAGGACAATTTAGGAATTAATACTTTTTGTCCAGGACTCACACCAGTTAAAATTTTTCCCTCCAAAATCACCGAGCCTCGTTAGAATAAGATGTGTCTCGTTAAACAACCCCATTGAATGATCGATATTTTGTAAAAGCATCACCGGGATCCCTACCTTTAACATTAACTCATTATTTAGTAAACCTGACAATTTTATATTATTCAAGAACTCATGTGTGCAGTTCCGCCATTAGATCGGTCGTAAAATCTACCTTAGAAACACCGTCAGATTTAAGATATGTTCTTGAAACTTCATCAACATTAAGAGCTGTCATATAGTCATTAACAGCTTCAACCACAGCCATTGTCGGTGCCAAAATTGCACGGTCGCGCAAACAACTCATATCACCTGCAGATTCAACATATTCTGGAAATATGCTTTCAACATTCGCAGCTATATTATCTTCATCTGTGTGTATCAATAGTTCTTTAGGAATAGTAACACGAATATGACCATCATTACTTTCACCCGCAACATCGTCACCAATGTTGGCGATCCAATTTGAAAAGACTTTCAAATCGTAAGAATATGATGGATTAGTCGTGTTCTGCAGACGCATATTTTTTTGTCAAACGAAGAACTGTGCATTCTGGCCACAAATATGATGAATTAATTGTCGCATTGATTACATCATGTCTACTCCCATGAGGGATCACTGGCAACACCTGCCGAAAATCAAAGGTTTATATAAAATAATTAAAGGTAAATTATTTATGACTAAGTAATAAGGTGACTATAAATTTACACGGATTGCATTTTTAAACGAATTGTCTCTCTAAATAGGTAAAATAATGGAGTAAAATATGTGAAAGTATGTTATGTCATTCTTGAATTATACCTGAATCTAAATTTGTGGGAAAATGTTCAAATAGGTGCTTTTACTATTTCTAATATCCAAGTATGGTCTGGTCCGGTTTGTTTAAGTTTGGTTTGGTTTGAGACTGAAATAAGTCTAAGTATGAAAACCTCAAGTAATATGGTGACTATGCATGCATTTATACGAATAGCATTTTTACACGAATTGCCCGGGTAAATTGGAAAATCGGGGGGTGTGCAAATATGTGAAAGTGTGTTATGGCATTATTAAACAATACTCAAATATGATAATTCTTCAATCGGGCCTTAACCGGCTCTATTCTATCCTAGGTATAGACCGAACCCAAGCTAACGAAAGCTGACTCGAACTAAATGTAAAGGAGTTTATCACCGGCAACACCTGCCGAAAATCGAAGATTTATATAAAATAATTGAAGGTAAATTATTTATAATGACTAAGTAATAAGGTGACTATAAATTTACACGAATCGCACTTTTTCGACGAATTGTCTCTCTAAATAGGTAAAATAATGGAGTAAAATATGTGAAAGTGTGTTATGTCATTCTTGAATTATACTTGAATCTAAATTTGTGGGAAAATGTTCAAATAAGTGCTTTTACTATTTCTAATATCCAAGTATGGTCTGGTTTGTTTAAATTTGGTTTGGTTTGAGACTAAAATAAGTCTAAGTTGGCATTTATACGAATTAATTTTTTTTACACAAATTGCTCGGGTAAATTGGCAAATCAGGCGGTGTGCAAATATCCGAAAGTGTGTTATGGCATTATTAAACAATACTCAAATATGATAATTCTTCCATCGGGCCTTAACCGGCTCTATTCGACCCTAGACCGAACCCGAGCTAACGAAGGCTGACTCGAACTAAATGTAAAGGAGTTTTTTTATCTCTAATTTTCATAACCGATATCTTATGAATAATTTTTTATATCATAAAAAAACCAATAGAGACCGGACAGGTCCCACCCTTAACGCCATCATCCAGCCCAGCTGGTCGCCGACTCAATAGTAAGAAATGGACAATTAATCTTTATCCAATTGTTCTACCCACTTTTTTTTGCAAAAGTCCTTCATCTTACTTTTCTTTAATTTAAATACATATATAGCTAGAAAAGTGATTCTAACCTTACTTTTTCTATATGTATAAGCTCAAACATACATCTAGAATTTAATACAGAAAAGTCTCTCAGCTGTATTAAAATAGCTAAAATGATCTTCTATAATAACTTCAGCCAATACAGCGCAGCCAGAAAAGTAACTATAACCTTATTTTTTCTTATTATTACACAATTCAACGCGCAAAATCAAAAGTTATGTATTTGATGAAAATATTGGTTGATAAGCCAAAAAAACAGGGTCACCAAACGGGTTCTAGACCGCACATTACCGCTTCAAATTCGTACATTTACCGTATAGTTTTTCAAATATAGATCAAAGACCAATAACTCTGAAGCATACCCCTCTTTTTAGGGACCATATAATTATATACCCCTTTCGTCACATTCTAAGATTTTCATTTTTTCATTTTGAACGTCTCATATTAAGTTTCACATTTATATTTTAAGAAATAATTAATAATACACTTAATAATCAAATATTAAAAATTATTATAACATCACAGTTTTAATCCATTACCCCACTGTATTAGTCATGGCCATCATAAGAACGTAGTGAAGTTTAATTGTGTGTCCGTCATTCGTACCCCCAGCATTCATGTAGGGGGTTGATTTCACACTAATCAGTTTTCAAAATAAATCGCTCTCACTACATATACTACTTCCGTCCCAAAATGAGTTGCAAATTTGACTGTTCTTAGTCAAACAGTCTCGTTTTGATCACTTAATTAGGATGTTATTTTTTAATTATATTCTAATTTGGAGTTTACAACTTTGAAGAGATTTTAATGTAGTTTTTGAATATGTAAATTTTAATTATTAAAAATTGAATTAATTATCCATACGGAGGGTTGACTTTTATTATTGATTGACCAAAAATTGTTGACTTTGCAAAACAAATTGGGACGGAAGGAGTATCTATTAGTTCTCAAATCAGTTAAATTAGCGTGTGATGTTAGCAGTCCAACGTATAGTGCCACGGATATGCCAGCCAATCGGGGTGATATATTATATATCATGTTATCAATTGTGTTTTCCATTTCACACTTTTACTAACAAATATTCACTCCAAATCATTTTCATTCCCTGCCCAGTGTGTTACAATTTTACAAAAAAATTGGATTAATTGTTCATTTTCTGGTGCTTATGTAAACTTGGACTTGCAGGGACCTGCCTAATAATCCTGATACTGCGGCTTGGAGGAATCCCCCTGTGAAGGGTTTTAATTTTTTTTGTTTTTGTTCCTATCATGGGTATGTAAATGTAATAAATAGATGTAGGGTAGATGTAGGCAGCACATCCACATCCAAAGAGATAACAGGTACGCCACTCCATGCACACCCTCCATATGAATGTTGTCATATAACAATGCCATTAGATTTGCTGCATTACACATTCGCCAAAGATTCAGTCTTCCAAACAATCTCTCTTTAAATTTTCTTCCTAGAAGAAAATTTTATTGGGACATTGAAAAATAGAATAACCCAAACTTTTCAAGAAAATCCTTAGTCCTATTCCCCAAATAGGTTTTTAAAAAAATTAGCCAGTAAAACAAACTGCCGCAGTAAAACGAACTGCGATGGAGATGCCAGCCAATCAGGGGTGGTAAGTAGTGGAGTTTTATTGTGTGCCCGCCATTCATACCCCTAGCTTTCGTCTAGGGGATGATTATCACAGTAATCAGTTTTCATCTAGGGGGTTGGTCTCACTCATCTTTGTGTTAAAACCAAATGGAAATAAAAGAACTGCCTAGGTGAAACTAATTGCCATGGTTATGCCAGCCAATCAGGGGGGGTGTCATAAGCTGTATTATGTTATCAATACTGTTTTCCCTTTCACGGACGAACTAACAAATATTCCCTTCATATTATCTTCATTCCGTGCCCTTTGTTTCACAAAATTACAAATAACATTGGAACTATTGTTCATTTCTGGTGTTTTATTAAAAGGCAGGACAGAAATTTTGTTAAGAGAAACCTTAGTCCTATTCCTCACACAGGTTTTTCAAAACATTAGCCATTACGCAAAGTCAAAACACCTTCACGGAAAATGTTGTTAAAGTTAAAGGAAAATTAAACATTCACTGAAACTAAGGTTTTCCAATCGAATGTATTCAATTGGAGTATAGTGTCGGCCGTATTTATTTGATTGAGCATTTTTAATCTCTCCTGCCAAACACCCTAGGAGGCTAGAACCATAAGACTTTCCCATAGAAGTCCAACACATAACAGTCCTCAGGTATATCTTAACACAATATCTTATATAGATGCGTCAATAGTACAGATGATTGGCAATTTCGTACACTTTAGTTCTTAGACTAAAACCATTTCAAAGAGGCCAACATTTGCCAACACCAGAACCCGAAGGATCACAAAATAGGTGGCCAAAGTTGCCTTTATTGTACATACATAATCTTCAAACATAGTCACACATAACATAGACGCACATAACTGTCCCACACAACTTAGACACACACAGCTAACAAAGAGCGAAGCATAATCTTTATTCCTTTTTCACCCCCTTGAGTTTTTTCCCAGATGTTGAAGTGGAGGAGTCTCCAAATAAGTCACGTTTCAGTTTCTCAGTGTCCACTTTCAAATCACCCCTTTTCTCCTTGGTCAACAGCGGGCTGGACACAGATTGCTGCGATGACTGAACCTGAAATTGTAAAAAACCTTGAGTTTCTGACTTTTGAGATACCTCGCTAGGATATAACTAAATATTTTGACTACTTACCCCGGTTCCAGAACCTGAAAACTCCTTGGCCAATCGAGTGAATTCATCTTCCTCCTGCAATAATAGCCCGTAAAAATTGTATTGGACAGTGTCTTTATACCCAAGGAAAAAAAAAATCTTATACCTCAACAGCATTTATCTTTGATGAGTAAAGTGCCAGCACTTTGGGGTCAGTGTTCATTTTTATAACGCTGAAAGTCTGATTTCCTTTGAAACCCCTGCCCTCTCTTTTAAAATGAACCTTAAACAAAGCCTTTATATCAATGAGCGAGGTTATCTCAGAAGGGAAGTAATGCGGTCCAAAGTTCCTCTGCAAATATTTTTAGGTGAGACTACCATATAAGAAAAACCAAGAAAAATAGAACTCAGTACCGACACACACCCCAGTTATTTGTTCCTTAAGGGATGAGGCCGACTTTCCCAGCAAGCATGAGACCTCCCTATCCCATAGCAAGAAGGAGGCATGTGTTGTACAATCAACTACCCTGACATTCACCTTAAACCTGATTTCATTAAAGATCTTGTCTTTAGCAATTTGTTAAAATGTAAAGTCATCCTATAACTCAGTCATCATGGTGAGTAAGATCACAAACCGAAGAACAGCGTCATTTGCATTGCAAGAGACACACCAAAAGCTATCCTCGTTAGTGGAAACCTTCCGATTACAACTGATGCATGAAATGTAGGACCAATCTTTGTAGTTGTCGATAGCCACTATCTCCCCGTAAACCCAGTGCTTCCCTTCCTGTTTATCAACCAAAAGTTCAAGTCAAATTTTGTTTACAACGGCCTTTGAATTATAATTACAATTGACTTGCCTGCTGAAGTTTCAACAGTGCATCAATAGTGATCAAATCTTGCTGGCCAGTTGCTATGTCACCATCGTCCGAGTTGTCAGTTGTTATTGAAAACCTAAGTCCACTACTGGACCTTTCAGCCATCCTGATTTTAATTTTATTTAGCAAATGTTACGGAGAGCTGTTTTTTGCTTTGGGCACGATTAAAGATTAAAGTTTATACCTTGACTTGAAGTCCACAAATTCCTCATCACTTCCATTTAAAATGACCTTAGTGGTGTTGAACATGTTTGAGACATGAACATGACCTAAATAATATCTTGTGTTAGATTATAGAGAATGAAGTGTGCAGAAGGGGTATAGGTACCATAATTTTTATGAAGCAACCATTATTACCCCTCCTTTAAAATCTGACATTCTAAGCGGCAATTTATCTATCCGCTTCACCACAGAACTCAATCATCTTAATGTCTATTACAACTTCCCAAATTTTATATGCTAGTGAGTAGATACAGTATTATTTAGTTATAAACTTCTATGATTCTATCGCATCACATAGTCTATGACACTATGCATTCAACTTTATCTTAAATAGACACTGCATAAAAAACCTGATTACACCTTGGAAACCTTTAACACATAGAACACACACGTTCTTGTGCCTGATGCACGGGTTTAGAAGATCGATGCAAAAGGCATGCAATAGTTTATTTTTTTGTTGTTATTTGTTTGATGTAGTAAAAACTCAAGCTTCTAATGATTTTTTTTAACAAATGACACTGGGGATATTATTGAAGAAGCAGAACATGACTGCTTATGTCGAGAACCAAATCATCGTTAAACCCCCCAGACTGTGGTAAGTGTTCTCTTTTACTGTCTAATATTTTAATTTGCCTATCATCTTTTGACCAAGAACATTGTTTGTAAAGAGAGTGAAGTATGATCGTAAAGGCGTATTCTCATGCTTCTTGAGTCTTTATATGGAGTATTAGATATGTGAATCGGTTTATATAAATAATCTAATTTCCCCCCCAAATACTTGCCAACAAATCGCATACCGAGACTCTTCATAAAATGTATTCATATTTTGAAATCATTTTCGGATAACATGCTATAGTACTCCATATTAATTTCACACGTACATATATGCATACATAAGAGATAAAGCTTCATTCTTCATTTCTTCATCTTCCACACTTGAATGCTCACAGTATCTTCTGGATATGTAACAGTATGAACATTTGAGCAAATGAGATGACAAAATTGTGACGCCCGAACGAATGAAGGATGTGTTGATGCTATTTAACCACAATTATGGTCTATTTATAGCGGTCCATAGAGGTGAAGACTTCCAAAATCCCTCACGGGGCGTGTCCGAGCAAGCTGTTTCCCACGTAAATAAAGATTTTGGAAAGATTTTGGAAGTACTTTTGTCAGGACAATGAATGTGGCCACAAATTTTAAGCTAACTTATGAAAATAAATTAATTACTGTGTATGTCATGTCACTTCAAATGTCCCGTCGCACTGTAGAATTATCTTTAACTTTCCAACTCTACACCATGTTCTTAGAACCCCGCACGACATATTTTACTTTTTCCAATTTCTTTATTTGCTTCTCTTTTCACTATTTGTCTACTATTCATTGACAGTGATACTTATGAGCGGGAACCCTGTTCCAAAATTTCTTTTGCTTTTATATATTAATAGATATCTGTCAGGACTCCTATTGGAGTACCTCTTTCCCATTATTTCACATGGTATCAAGAGCTCTAGGTTTGTAGATACATTTTTTTTTCTTTTTTCGGTTCCCATGAACCTTATTATAGCCGCCGCCTCGGGGTCGACTGCCGCCACATTTACGTCAGTCTCCGATCCTTTGAAGATGAGTGCGGCTAATATGGCGCAGATCACCTCCTTCGCGTCGCTGAACACGGTGCTTGCTTCCAGCCTGCCGTTGAGTTCGCCGCCTGCTGCTGCCTATGTCCGCGCAGCCCACCTTCTCTGCGTCGCTGACCACGGTGCTTGCTTCAAGCGCGCTGTTGAGTTCGCCGCTTGCTGTTGCAGACATATATTCTCATGGAGATCTTATTGTCAAAGATCTGCCAAAATACAAAATATTCCTAAATAGATATTAGGCAGATTTCCTAAATATATTAGTCTATTACGGAGTATATCAAATCAACATACAATATACATATTTCTCAATAAAAAAACACATTGGGCATTTTATTCAATCGCGCAACGCGCGTATTAAAAACTAGTACTAATATAAAAAGGAAACCTGGCACTAATTAACTATGCCATTCAACCAAGCCGGCCATGGGCCTATATAATACTCCGTACGGAGTAAGATATAAAATATACTCCGTAGTTTACATAATAAATTCTAACTTTGGCCCACCAAATTAAAATCCCAATGATATACGTACTGAAATTTCAGAAAATTGAATTATAGAGTTGGCCAATGATATTCGATTACAAAGAAGGGGCAACGCTGCCGAGATTATTAAACGTCTCTACCGCACAACACATTAACAATTTAATTGACGTGATGGTTTCAACCCAGTAAAGGTAAACCGCAAATCCAACATGTTTAAATACACGGTAGAATATATTAAATCACTCAGTGCCTCGACATGCTTCAATAATTTACAAAACTATATTCAGTGCTCACAATACTACATTGGGAACAAACAATGAAATCATTCCGGGTATGTATTTCTTAAATTTTTATTTATTCAATCTTAATGTAGGCACGTATATACCTGATTAAATTATAATCCCTTGCAAAAAAAATCAGTTCGATCATATATTAAATGTGGTGATAAGTCCGTATTTAGACACGCATTTGATGCGTGTTGGGATTGGATTTTGATGGTTTTCCTAGCTTTAAGTTATTGCAAATCTCAATTTTAGCTCAAGTTATGTTTACCAGGCGTTGGTTCGAGTTTTGTGTCATTTGGAGTCAAAACAGGATTTTAGAGTTCGGCACCGGCGCTTGAGAAGAAATCGGGATGAGTTGAGAAGCATTAGAGAGTGATTTGAGAGATTTGGAGGTCAGCGGGAGGTTCACAATGAAGATTTGAAGGAAAAAGAGCTCTAGGATTGGCTACGGGATCAAAACAAGATGAATGAAGCTTGAAAACGACGATCAGGATGACCTTTTGTCAATCGTTCAACATATCTCTTTGTAGAAATATCCAAAGAACACGATTCAAAGTCCATATAAAAGATAACTTCAAGGGCTACAAATCATATGAAGACACCTTTGCGAGAATCTAAGAGGAAGAAGGTTAAAATAGACGATGAAGTCGGATGATCTCTGCTGCGATTTCAGAATGATACCTTCCACCGTTTTGATCATAGCTCTTGATTCGATGATTCAAATCACATTCGGCAAATTGGGTTGGATAGCACATTTTATTATCTACAACTTTCATGAAGGAAGTTTTGTCAAATTCGGAAGTTACGTAGGCACGATCGTGCTCTCAAAGTTAGGCACGATCGTGCGTGAAGAAAAAGCATCGCGGAGTTACTGCCAGCCAGGCACGATCGTGCCGGGAGGGAGGCACGATCGTGCCTGCCCAAAATGCGCGTTTTTGCTCCGGAGGCACGATCGAAGGCACGATCGTTCCTGGCATCGTGCCTGCCTCCGAAAATCCAAATTCAGCTTAAATTTCACCCGATTTTTCTATTTAAATAGCCTGTAAACCCCCGTTTTCAAGGGGGGGGCTTAGAGAGAGTGCCTAGCACGAATTTTAGAGAGCTTTTCAACTTTGTTCATCAATCTTTTGGGATTCTTTGTAAGTTCCACCTTTTTAATTAATGACAAATATTTAATAAAAAATATTAGAAAAGAAAAATGAAGAATTACGCTTATTTAAACCCCTCAAATTTCTCATGATTCCTACTTGAGCCTCTGTTTAGCGTAAATTATTTAAGGGAAATTACCCTAAATGAGACAAAAAAACTCCGAAATAGAATTATCATGTTTGTATTCCCAAAATAGGACTAACTACTGATATGTTTCGGCAATACATACTTTAAACATGACACTATTTTCCAAACTTGACAACAATTACTCATATTTTGGGAATAAAAACAATGTAGTCGTATTTTGAAATGTTTAAATTTTTTACTCCAGTTTTGTACCCGAGCGTTGCCCCGGGTGCAACTACCATATGAAATATTTAGTTTATAATTTTGTGCATATGTGAAATATATATTTCGTATGAATTTTTTAAATCACATTGATAAAAGCATTGAAATACGTATTAATTCAAAATAATATTATATAATATATAAGAATAAAGATGTTGGGATCCGTAAGACATTATAAATTTGAAAGACTATGCTTCTAAATTCTGGATAACCTTTATATAGATAATATTTATGACATTAGAGGAAAATCCCTGATCTTTAGATCGAATCCAAATCTTCAATCCTTCTTTGCTCTTGACTGTTGATATGGCAGCATATAATTGACCGAGTGTGAACACATTTTTTCCCAAGATATAGCCTGACATGCATATTTACTGAGATTGGCTCTTGTTGATGCTCATTGCAAAGCATACCATAACTGAGAATTGCTTCATCTGAAAATTAAAAGGCAATGTTACATCAGATGGAGATAACGACGTACAATCTGGGAATGTGAACAGTACGTGGCCCTCATATTTCTTCCAGTGATGATCTTTGCCTCTAGCACATTTTTCTGAGCTTGGTGAGAATGATCAACCTGGTTCCATTACAAAATCCTGCTGGCTGGTCTATATTTCTCATGAGCATAATGGGAGCACCAATCTTTAGATGCAATTCGTGACCAGACAACCTCGAGATTGAGATACTATCAAGAAATTCTAGTGTATACACGTCACTCTCACGACACAAACCGATATGTGAACTAATGATGCTATCTGAGATGAGTTACATGATTTGATCACCGGGGATCAAAGATAGCATGTAGTCATTTATTTGGAGAACCACGTAAAAAAGTTCAAGTATCGCTCTTTCCATCAAGTAAGTTGGATACTTATGAGCTTTGGATACTTATTTATAACTTACAGTGATATATCAAACGCTTATTTATGAGCTTAAAACTTATCTCAGATAGCATCAGCAATCCAACTTACTTGATGGAAAGAGCGATACTTGAACTTTTTTACGTGGTTCTCCAAATAAATGACTACATGCTATCTTTGATCCCCGGTGATCAAATCATGTAACTCATCTCAGATAGCATCATTAGTTCACATATCGGTTTGTGTCGTGAGAGTGACGTGTATACACTAGAATTTCTTGATAGTATCTCAATCTCGAGGTTGTCTGGTCACGAATTGCATCTAAAGATTGGTGCTCCCATTATGCTCATGAGAAATATAGACCAGCCAGCAGGATTTTGTAATGGAACCAGGTTGATCATTCTCACCAAGCTCAGAAAAATGTGCTAGAGGCAAAGATCATCACTGGAAGAAATATGAGGGCCACGTACTGTTCACATTCCCAGATTGTACGTCGTTATCTCCATCTGATGTAACATTGCCTTTTAATTTTCAGATGAAGCAATTCTCAGTTATGGTATGCTTTGCAATGAGCATCAACAAGAGCCAATCTCAGTAAATATGCATGTCAGGCTATATCTTGGGAAAAAATGTGTTCACACTCGGTCAATTATATGCTGCCATATCAACAGTCAAGAGCAAAGAAGGATTGAAGATTTGGATTCGATCTAAAGATCAGGGATTTTCCTCTAATGTCATAAATATTATCTATATAAAGGTTATCCAGAATTTAGAAGCATAGTCTTTCAAATTTATAATGTCTTACGGATCCCAACATCTTTATTCTTATATATTATATAATATTATTTTGAATTAATACGTATTTCAATGCTTTTATCAATGTGATTTAAAAAATTCATACGAAATATATATTTCACATATGCACAAAATTATAAACTAAATATTTCATATGGTAGTTGCACCCGGGGCAACGCTCGGGTACAAAACTGGAGTAAAAAATTTAAACATTTCAAAATACGACTACATTGTTTTTATTCCCAAAATATGAGTAATTGTTGTCAAGTTTGGAAAATAGTGTCATGTTTAAAGTATGTATTGCCGAAACATATCAGTAGTTAGTCCTATTTTGGGAATACAAACATGATAATTCTATTTCGGAGTTTTTTTGTCTCATTTAGGGTAATTTCCCTTAAATAATTTACGCTAAACAGAGGCTCAAGTAGGAATCATGAGAAATTTGAGGGGTTTAAATAAGCGTAATTCTTCATTTTCCTTTTACAAAACATTAAATATAATTGAATAGAATGTCTAACATAAGAGAGAACCTGATGTTGGGGCTTTCAAATTCAAAGGCACAGTTGGCACAACTAATAGCACAACTCTCTACAGACTTCTTGCACTTTGGACAACTGTAGTACATCCACCCTTTGTCATCTAGGACACAAGCTATTGTAGATAAAACTACATGTTGTGCGACCTGTTTATTGTTTGTTCAAAATTTATTATTATGGATTTAGCTAACAATTACTGGATTATGTGTTAACTGAAATTTGGAAGAATGCATTATACCTCTTCAAATACCACTAATTCGCTCAATGTTTTAGATGCATAAACATCTAAAAATGCCTTTGTGTCAAAACTCTTCTTCTTATCTTTTGTGTGAGATTGCTTCAAAGTTATAGAGGAAGAATTAGGCCGCTCAATAAGAAGCCTAAAAAAAGAATAGAATATTAGTGGTATGTTAAAGTTATTAGGTGTAATTTTATATGAAATAATAATGACAACTCTACCTATCCCGAAATTCAGTGCACCATCTGTCTTTCCCATTCAGAACAATTATGCTATTATCAAAAAAAGTTGTAGCATGTGTTTCACCTTGAAATGGTGAAGAAATTAAAGTGTCATTGTTAAGAAATATTGAACGTCAATAGAATAGAATACGTAGGGGTGACGTAGAAACTTTACTGTTGAAAACATCTGAAATGCCATATCTCATAGCAAACACAATAGGACTCGTAGGAGAGGTCAAAAGATGAGATTCGACTTCAATAGCTTTATCTCCCCACAAAATACATGGCAATATTGTGCCTCTGTATGTCATAAAGTCATAATTCATGAACGTATATTCTTGTTAAACTGAGTGTTTGTGGTTAATACTGCAATTGAATTAAATAAGAACTCTTACTCTGTGTCTTGGAGTTCTAGACGTAACCTTTTACGTTCTTTGCCAGTTCTCTTGATTATAACGAACTCGGATGAAAAGTCCGTTATTTGACCAATTAGATCAATCAAGTACTCACGCTGGAACGCAGGACTCAAAATACTCTTGAAGTCAGTGAACTTATAGAATGTGGAGGGAATATCCAAATCGTCTAATTCACTTACTTTAGTGGAATTAGTGAAGTTTAAACGATATTTATGAGTCGAGGCCAAATACTTTCCACGATTGACACTGACATAAAATACTGAAATTTTGTAGCACTTATCTTCGGCTAAGATATGATCATACTGATCTATGAAATTCTTGCTCAATGTGCATTGGATAGAATCACCCTGAAAAATAGTGAAAAAAATCTAAATATTAAGTTTGAAGAGAAATTAAATATTTAAAAGCCCATGACAATTGACTTACACATTCATCCAAAAATAACAGCTCTAAAGTTTTTTTAATGGCTGAGTCCTTCTCAAACACTGCCCATTTCCGCATGATTCTAACTTGTAGCTGGCAGCCTTGACGACTGATCGATACATGCTTTATGTAATTGGCATTTATCATTATCACTTCAGTCATGCATACTGAACATAGTCGTTTATGTTTTGCCTATAAAATCTGACAGTGATTTTTAATCAACCTGACTACGATTGATGTTACAATCACATATTTGAAAAAACTGGTAGATTCAATTCACACACACAGTGATATACATAAATACTTAATGATTAATGACTTTTTGAATTTGTATGTGAATCTGTGATTTGTTCCATACATAGATTTAAAATTTATGCTGTTGGTTTTTAAATATTCGTAGATTTGAGGACAACTATGTAACAGGTGCCGGAGATCATTATTCCTTGAGACAGATATGTGATCTATTCCATACAATTGGCATTTATCATTATTACTTCAGTCATGCATACTGAACATAGTCGTTTATGTTTTGCCTATAAAATCTAACAGTGATTTTTAATCAACCTGACTACGATTGATGTTACAATCACATATTTGAAAAAACTGGTAGATTCAATTCACACACACACAGTGATATACATAAATACTTAATGATTAATGACTTTTTGAATTTGTATGTGAATCTGTGATTTAATCCATACATAGATTTAAAATTTATGCTGTTGGTTTTTAAATATTCGTAGATGTATACATGTTTATTAAAGATTAGTTTTATTTCTCTTAACAACAAACTCAAGTTTCAAAATATTAAATTTTATAAACAGCCATCGTGTTGTTTAACATTAAAGAAGTGTTGTCTAACAGATAGATGCCTATATTCTCAGCATATGGTATAGTTCAGTGATGGTATTCTACTTGATGCATATTTATAGATTGGTTAATCACTCTTAAGATAGTGTATCAACGTGTGAATAAATATAATCAATGTAAAGTTAATATTACCTTTTGTATGACAGGCAGCTTGAGAACTCATCAGTGCTGATTTTCTTCAAAGTATATCACGGCCACTGCTTATGAAATGCAATTCTGGGGTGAAGGCCTTCTCTATTTAATGTGTGTATTTGATAAGGTTAATTCCATGTGCATCGGTAATCTGTTAAATGCTCAGCTGTAAAAAATTATTGTATCTTGATAATGAAATTATCCTTTATTTATATTTAGTTGATAAAGGGAATATTCATCTACTATGTTATTCGGTGATATATAGACTACCGTTAATGGGTTATGAGGTTTTTATGTTAAATCTGCCTTAATATATGGGAATTCCATGCTTATCTATTATCTCAACTAACGGTGATACAGTTGGTTATGAGCGAATTCCATGCTATCTATTACTATTATTTAAATTTAAATCTGCCTTGATTCAATTAAAATCTGCCGTGATTGAATTGAAATGGTAAACATTTATGGGCAAAATCTGAAAAATGACAATTTCAATGATTGGACTTAATAGCAATTTTAATCACAAATCAATTTCAATTGAAATGACTCTACTTTATTAGTACTAAAGTAGATCTATTGAAAGATACACCATATTAAATATGTGATCTCGTGTTTCACGAAAAAAATATACGGGTACTACGTACTTTAGGGTTGTGCATTAACCGGGTCGGACCGTATTTTAGACCTGAACCGGACCGGTATAAACCGGTCCAGGTTTCGGTCCTTAGTTTTGTAAGATTACGGGTTCCGGTCCGGTCCGGGTCAAACCCGGAAAAAACAGGTCCGGACCGGAATGGACCGGTAACCTATTTTCCCGTAAAATATATACTTGGTTTTGTATCATTAGTCATTATGTTTATGACTTATTTTTGTCTTTTATTATATAAACGAATATATACGGAGTTTATATTTGGTGTTTAATTATTTCCTAAGTTGTTATTTATTTATTTATTTATTTATGTGATTTTTCTGCTTTTTATTTGTTTCTTTATTTTCAGGTGCACATGTAGTTTATACGTAGTATATTTTTGGACTTAATTTAGTTTTTATTACTTTATAATAGATTTTGCATTTTAATATACACAAAAGATTGTAGTTTTAATTATTGTGGTAAACTAATTGTTACGATTGAATAGTTTTGATAACTATATCCCAAAATTAATAAATGAGCTAGATAAACAATTATTTAGTCTATTTAGCATATCCGCACATAAAATTATAATTTAGAACAACAACATCCAAGCCTTATTCCAAAAAATATTTGGGACCAACTAAGAACACTCTAAGATAATAGAAATAATGACCCAAATAATACTACCACACACTTAAAAGACAAAAGTAAGGCCCATTTTAAATCTGGACAAAAATAAGAGTAATAATAATAATTGAGTGGACAGAAACACCCCTTACGTAATTCTCTCATATGTGGCAAATCATTTGCCCTCTCGCAATCTGCTCGTCTCCCTCACCTGCGCTGGGAGCATCCGATCCATCACCGCATCAGTGACGACGGTTGAAGCTCTGTCATCTTCGTCGAAGCTCTGCCATCTCTGACGAAGCTCTGCCATCTCCGACGAATCTCTTCCATCTCCGTAGATCCTCCACCGCCAGAGCACCTCCATCGCCGGAGCACCTCCATCATCGTCGTTGTCCAGGAGCATCGTCACCGTCCTCCAGGTTCATCTTCTTCAATTTTCTTTTCTTCTCGAATCGATTGCTGATTTCGTGGCGAGGGGCCATTGAGATGGAAATCAGACCGCACTAGGGTTTGGGGCTACGTGGCAGACGGTGGCGGTTGTAGCGAGGCAACAACGATGTTAGATCTATTCATGGCGCGCATCTAGGCTTCACAGGTCTGACCGGTTCAAGTGGCGGCGGATCTGGCTGGTGCAAGTGGTGGCGGATCTGTCACTGGAGCCTAGGAGTGGGCTGGTGGGGTAGGCGACAGAGCTGGCGGGGCATGGCTGTGGAGGAGGGTGGTGCCGGAGAGGGCTGGGGGCTGGGAGTGGGCTATGGACGTGGCTGAGAGCTGAGGAGTCAAGTCGGGGTGGGCTGTGGTGGGCGGCGAAGGCGCTGATTGGGTACAGCGGTGGTCAGTGACCAGTGTACATCACATGGCGGTGTTGGCAATTAGCTGGCGGTGTTTCGGTGGTGGTTTCCGGCGGTGATGGCGCAATGTCGAGTTGTCGGCTAGTGTAGTGTGACATGGACGAGGTTGGGGTGGGCTGGTTGTGAAGGGGTTGACTGGTGGGGCGGGACATGGGCAGACTGACAGGTTGGGGCGGGGGCTGGGCGGCAATGCTCCTAGGCCGCAGACATCAATTGGTCACTCGCAGACGAGTGGTCACTAAAGTCGGGTGGTTACTAGAACTCGGGTGATTAGTGAGGCGATTGTCATTGAGCGTTGGTAACTGTCAATTTGGTCACTGAGATCGGGGTGGTCTGGAGTCGGATGTCACGGTAGTCGGGATGTCACTAGAGCTGGGTCACTAAGTGTTGGTAACTGTGTCATTGGTAACTGGGGTATATAGTCACTGTGACATAGGTCACTGTAATGTATTGGTCAATTGGTCACTGTAACACATTAGTCACTGTAGCGGGTCTGCTGGGCTTTAGTAAGGGCAAAGTAGTCAGTTCAGCCCTTTTTAGTCACACTTTTGGAATTTTTTTAAAAAGTTCACTTTTTTGTCCATTTGGTAATTTTTAGTAATATTGGAGACCTAACCCCAAGATAATATTTATTTTTTAAAACCGGGTCAATTAGGGTCAAAACCGGACCGGACCGGAAAATTCAGGTTCGTACCGATCCGGACCGGTTAGATCCAGGTCCGGTCTTCGGTCCAAAGAAAATGATGATTCCGGTTCCGGTCCTAACCGGTTCCGGTCCGGTCCGGTCCGGTCCGGTCCGGTCCGGTTTTGGACCGGTGCACACCCCTACGTACATTAATAAGGACATGGATTATTGAAAACTTGAGGGCATGAAATGATGAAAGTACGTGCAAATAAATCATGCATTACGTACTATTAAAAATATATTATATACGTTATATAAGACATATAAGATTAATAATGCATGCTTATCCGTTTTGTTAATGATCATAATTATATAAATTATTTAAACTATCAAACATTTTTATAAAGATTGTGGAACTAAACAGGCATAATTTAAAAATAAAATAAAATAAGTAGCTTGGTCGGTTGGAAGTATACGACTTAAATGAAAATGATATTGGGAGATTTTCGAGGTTAGCTAGAGGAATTATAGGGTGTAATAAGAAGGCCTTTTACAACATGACAAACAAAAAAGGCAAAAATTGTTATGAAATGAAGAAGATGAAGAACAGATTAAAGAGATAGATATATTATTAATAACCTCCAAAATAACTTCTTCTTAATCTCTGAGATTTCTGAGTTTTTGAATTACTTTACAAGAGTTTGAGCAAGCCCTATTTATACTAGCCAGGCATAGGATGAATCATCTAGGAATGATTCTACATGATTTGCTGGCAGTATTGAATCTAGCCATGTGTGTGATTACAAGGACTTGTGTTTGATGAGTAAGGATTAGAACTAGCTAGGTGTCCTGATTACAAGGATGGACAATTCACACATGTCATTCTAGCCATTTTACAACACTCCCCCTTGAATGTTCATCCTTGAATAGGTATTTGTTATGTTAAAAATTTATTGTGAAAATTAGTGTGAAATTAAAGGGGTAAAAATTACGACTTATAATGTCGTTGTATTTGGATGTACTGTCTCGTTAAAAACCTTATCAGGAAAAACCCAGTGGGATAAAAACCTGATGAAGGGAAAAAGAGTGCAGTGCATTCAAATACTCCCCCTGAAATTAACATAAATTTTGAAGGCGGTGCATGCCGATTTTCTGTACAAGTTCTGTGAACTTCTTCGGGGGTAAAGATTTGGTGAAGAGATCGGCTGGATTTTCACTTGATCTGATTTGTTGAATGTTGATCGTCCCATCTTTCTCCAGATCATGAGTAGAGAAGAATTTTGGTGATATGTGTTTTGTTCTGTCTCCTTTGATATAGCCCTCTTTAATTTGAGCTATGCATGCGGTGTTGTCTTCATAGATCAAAGTCGGGTGACAAGTAATAGGCTTTATACCGCATTCATTTTGGATGTGTTGAATCATAGATCGCAGCCACACGCATTCCCTTCCGGTTTCATAAAGTGCAATTAACTCCGAATGATTTGATGATGTAGCTGTCAACGTCTGTTTCATAGATCTCCACGAGATTGCGGTATTACCATAAGTAAATACGTACCCGGTTTGTGATTTTGCCTTTTGAGGATCTGATAGATATCCAGCGTCTGCATATCCGATTAAAGAAGCTTTTGCATCTTTGTGGTAGAATAGGCCGAGATCAACTGTACCACGGAGATAACGGAATATGTGCTTGATCCCGTTCCAATGACGTCTTGTTGGACATGAGCTGTACCTAGCTAATAAATTTACAGAAAATGCAATATCTGGTCTAGTATTATTAGCTAAATACATTAAAGCTCCGATAGCACTGAGATATGGTACTTCGGGACCGAGTATTTCTTCGTCGTCTTCTCGGGGACGGAATGGATCATCGTGTATGTTGAGAGATCGAATGACCATTGGTGAAGTCAAAGGATGAGCTTTGTCCATATAGAATCTCTTCAACACTTTCTCGGTGTAATTGGATTGGTGGATGAAAATTCCATTCTTCAAATGCTCAATTTGAAGTCCGAGACAAAATTTGGTTCTCCCGAGATCTTTCATTTCAAATTCTTTCATAAGATATTTTGCAGTATTTTCAATTTCATCGGGAGTTCCAATAATATTTAAGTCATCAACATATACTGCAATTATGGTGAATCCCGAATTTGATCGCCGAATGAAAACACATGGACTAATCGGATCATTCTTATATCCTTCTTTGAGAAGGTATTCACTGAGACGATTATACCACATTCGTCCAGATTGTTTTAGTCCATACAATGACTTTTGTAATTTAATGGAAAACATGTCTCGAGGTTTCGAGCTATAAGCTTCAGGCATTTTAAATCCACCGAGAACTTTCATATAAATGTCTGTATCAAGTGAACTGTATAAATATGCGGTCACTACATCCATTAGGCGCATTTGCAGCCTTTCAAAAACAGACATGCCAATGAGAAACCTTAATGTAGTTGCATCAACTACTGGAGAATAGGTTTCTTCATAATCAATTCCCGGCATTTGAGAAAAACCTTGGGCAACAAGTCGGGCTTTATATCTAACAATTTCATTCTTTTCATTGCGTTTACGTACAAATACCCATTTAAAACCCACAGATTTTACGCCTTTTGGCGTAGGGACTATCAGTCCAAAAACATCACGTTTTTCAAGTGATTTTAATTCAGCCTGAATAGCTTCATTCCATTTTGGCCAATCGTGTCGTTTCCGACATTCTTCTATTGATGTTGGCTCATTGTCATTGTTTTCATTCATAACATTTGTGGCAACGGCATAGACAAATATCTCATTAATATCAATATCTTTTCGATTCCATTGCATTCCAGTAGAAACGTAATTTATTGAAATTTCATAATTATCAACGTTTCTATCAGTATCTGGAATATCTTCCTCATTTAAGGAAGTTGAATCATTATTTGAGATGTTTGTTTTGTCAATATCATTTTCTATGCCAGTATTTTCAAATTGTTCATTTTCTTGTTCAGAAGGATGAACATCTTTGGCATCACAGATCAATTCCTGCCTTTTAGTCTTTCTTGGTTTTATGTCTTTTGATCCAAGTGGCCTGCCACGCCTTTTGCGTATAGAAGAATCAATTGCAAGAGATTTTTCAGAATTCTCCGCTGGAATTTCAATTCTGGCAGGGGCATTCATAGCAGGAATATGTGACTTTGTCACTTTCTTTGTGTCTGTGAATGCATCAGGCAACTGATTTGCAACATTTTGTAAATGGATTATCTTTTGCACCTCTTGCTCACATATATTTGATTTAGAATCAAGGTGTGACAATCCTGTTGCATTCCATGTTATTTCTTTCGTACTTGGGTCCGATTTATTAGTTTCTCCCCCTAAGGTTGGAAATACTGTCTCATTGAAATGACAGTCAGCGAACCGTGCGGTGAATAAGTCACCAGTCATCGGTTCAAGATATTTGATTATTGAGGGAGATTCAAATCCAACGTAAATTCCCAACCTTCTTTGAGGACCCATTTTTGTACGATGAGGTGGAGCAATCGGAACATAAACAGCACAACCAAATATTTTTATGTGTGCTAAGTTTGGCTCTTGTCCAGTAACTAATTGCATTGGGGAATATTCATGATATGCAGTTGGTCTAAGCCGAATTAAATTTGCTGCATGTAAAATAGCATGTCCCCAAGCTAATGAAGGTAAATTACACTTCATTAATAATGGTCTAGCGATTAATTGTAATTGTTTAATCAAAGATTCTGCAAGACCATTTTGTGTATGGACATGAGCAACAGGGTGCTCCACATCAATCCCAATCGACATACAGTAGTCGTTAAATGATTGGGATGTAAATTCTCCTGCATTATCAAGTCGGATTCTTTTTATAAAATGATCCGGAAAATGAGCTCGTAATCGTATGATTTGAGCAAGGAGTTTAGCAAATGCTAAATTTCTAGTCGATAAAAGACTAACATGTGACCAACGTGTTGAAGCATCAATCAACACCATAAAATATCGAAATGGTCCACATGGTGGGGCTATCGGCCCACAAATATCTCCTTGAATCCTTTCTAAAAATGCAGGTGATTCAGTTGCAATTTTGGTCATAGAAGGCCTGATGATCATTTTCCCAAGAGAACAGGCCTTACAAGGAAAATCACTTGATAATGGAACCCTGATATTCTTTAATGGGTGTCCAAGTGAAGTCTTAATGATTTTATGCATCATTATTTGGCCTGGGTGACCTAAACGGTCATGCCACAACATGAATGTTTTCTGATCATCTAACTTTGTGTTAGATAAAGTTTGATAAAGAGGTCCAAGAGTATATCAATATCAATGAAAGAAAATAATTATTCAGGTATGCATGTTATCTATATGTATTTTCTATCCGTATATGATAGGAGATTTCATTTAAAACTCAGAATAAATTTCTGATTTAAAAATTAAAAGAAGTTAATAAGTATTCATGTTAATACCTGCAGGAGATGATGATTTCTTGAAGGACTTTGAGCGGATTCGTGCTGATAACGTGTTATTAATAACCTCCAAAATAACTTCTTCTTAATCTCTGAGATTTCTGAGTTTTTGAATTACTTTACAAGAGTTTGAGCAAGCCCTATTTATACTAGCCAGGCATAGGATGAATCATCTAGGAATGATTCTACATGATTTGCTGGCAGTATTGAATCTAGCCATGTGTGTGATTACAAGGACTTGTGTTTGATGAGTAAGGATTAGAACTAGCTAGGTGTCCTGATTACAAGGATGGACAATTCACACATGTCATTCTAGCCATTTTACAACAAAAATCAATTTCTTTTTTATTATGTCCGGTTTCACAACCAAATACTCCGTAAATTTTACTGCGTCATGAGTTAGGGATCATTATGGATTAAAAATAACTATTTTATCCAATGGATTTCTCAAGCATGTAGTTTCTGTTATTTGTAAATTCATTCAAATAAATATATTTGAATGATTCTATAATTGATGATCAATACAAAAGCATATATTTTCCGTGCATCGCAGGGTACGATACTAGTATTTATTACTATTTATTAAGAAATTATAAGAGTTTAGTGAATGTTTATTGGGGGCAGCTGCCACCCATACTAGCTGAGTAGATCCGCCCCTGAATGAGTTGATCTAAACTCTATAAAGGCAAGATAACATTTTTGTAATTAAAGCCAACTTTTTTAGGATGCAACTCTTTGAACGTTAATATGCAACTACAATTTTATGGATGAATAATATGCAACACTTTGAACACCAATATGCAATACAAATAATGTAAAGATGCATCGTATAAACAGTTTGCACAATATACAATAACTGTACAAATAAGTACAGTTTAAAAAAATGTATATATATGTGTGTCATAGGGTATGGACCGGGCCTGAGACGGGTCGGGGCGGGACTGGGGGTTTGGGCTGAAGGCCCAGGTCGGGTCGGATCTAAGTTTTTTTTTAAAAGAATTATTTTTTCTAATTTATTCCTCCACCCACCCCCAAACCACCTCAAACCACCCAGCGCCACCCGCTTAGCATCCAAATGGGAAAAAATAAAAATAAAAAAGGCCCGGACCATTCCCGGACTGGCCGGGCCAGTACACCATATGCAGATCCCGTTCGGGCCCCCAGTCCCGGTCCCGGTCGGCCGGACTGGGGCGGTACCACACAATAACGGGTCGGGCCGGGTCGGTCCGAATCCTCCCGGTCCATGCCTGTGTGTATGTATGTATGTATGTGTGTATACTCCGTATACTATATATATGTGTCCCAAACATGAAAATGGCTAGTACGGTGCCTAGATGCAAAAACTGCATAAAATATTTTTATATTGAAACGGATTAGCAGAAACTCTTTGCCAAAGAGGATAAAAAGGAAAAGGAACAAGAGAGGAAGGAACAAGAAGAACGAAGGGGATAAAGAATCACAAGAGAGGAAGAAACAAGAACGGAGGGAATAATGCATCAAAAGTTCGAAAGAGATGGGAAGGATCTAAGAAAAAAATGGAAAAAGCAAACAGTCCAGTCGTTATATCACTTGCTATAAAGAGTCATTTTCGGGTTACTTGATCAAATTGACCGTTTTTGAAGAGTAATGATATTAATATAATGTTGTCAAGTAAATTGTGATCTGATGACATCACTTTTGATCTCTCAAAGAGGAGGTCACAGTCTTCCCAAAAAAAGTGCTTTTTTAGTAGATAGAATTATGTGATGATTTATTATGGGTTTATTTGACTTTCCAGAGAATTTCAGTTATATGATTTTTTTGTATTTCTAATTATTAGTGTAGAATAACGGTACATCCGGAGACGAACAGACAAAGATATTCATTCATACACAATTACACAGTAATAAATTCTTGACTTCAATAGACAAACAATAAAAGATCTACATAGTAATGTCTGACGACTTTGTATCTCCCTTTTGGATCAAGAAAAAAAAACGAGGCAACAACATCATCGTACAACAGACTTAGGTAGATGATACATCCCACATTCAACTGGATCTACCTATTAAAAGCTCCATACGTGTGATATTCAACCTAAAAAACAGATTAAAAACTGGCCCGTAATTCTAGAAAAACATTATTGACAAATTAGCTAAATGCTGAAAGCATCAAATATCTCTGCAAATAACTAGATATTAATTTAAACAATAGCATCGTAACCAACCCTCCTCCACATATCAGTTTCAAGCTTCTTTAAATTTAGTGTTCCTTTTTCAAGCTGGCTGGACAGGTTTTACACCTTCTGCAAATGCTTCCAGATCGTGCAAGGCTGTTACTGCCGTTTCATGGTTTAAGAATGGTCTTATAAAACTTGCGGTTTCCTTTATCCTTGATTTCTGCCAAATGATTAAGTGTATAAGCAAATACAATATTGGACATTAAAGTATAAGGCGAGAAAAATAAGTTGCTCTATTTATAAAATAATGTTTCAGCCAAAAAATATAAAACACAAAAAAATCCAAATATATCTCCCTTCTTTCATTTTCCACAAAAGTACAAAGAATAGTGGAAAGGCCAACACAAACAAACCATTAAGGAAAAGACATTTCCTTGTGCCCAACATGGGAAAACCCAAGACAACAAAATAGAGGGCATTTTTTATGGAAACAATCAGGTCCAAAGTCCACGCACAATTATACTCCCTCCATCCCAATTTGATGGTCTCATTTCTTTTGGGCACAAATTTTAATAAAGTGGTTGAAAAGGTAAAAGTTGTGGTTGAGATTTGTGTGGAAAAAGATGAAATGATGTGGACCACATTTTTCTTTCCAAAAAGGGAAACAGGACCATCATTTTGGGACATCCCAAAAATGAAATACAGGATCATCATTTTGGGACGGAGGGAGTAACATTTACCCATATTTGACTTACTAGCTGTTCAAGATGTCCCTCCAGAGCCAAGTGATGGGAATATGAAGCAATCGGCGCTATCAATGGTGCGTTCTTAAACATACAAAAAGTACAAAAAGAATTAAGTTATCATTGCAGTAGTAATAAGAATTGAGACCATTAAATAAGCCAAAAATATCACATTAATACAGCACTAGAAATAAGCGCTACATCACTACAACAACATTACTCCAGTGCCACAAAGGCTCCCCCCATCTATGGTGGGGCAAGGGGGATCGTATGTACACAGTCTTACCCCTGTACTAAAGCACAAAGAAATTGTTTCCGGATGACTCATAACTCCATAAGTGCTACATCACTATTTTACACAAATAAAACCCTAATGTCAAAAAACATTTTACCAAATTTCCCCTTCAAAGTGATCAAAGGCTCACCTTAAACATGAAGAGACCACTTAGGCTTGTTTGACTCTGCGATTTAGGCAAGAAGGCGATGGGAGGATTTATTTTTATTTTACTTACCTATCTCCAATTGTTAGCTTTAGACTAGATATAATTACACGATTAGGTGTACCATATATATCTATATAGTTTTATCTTCACTTTATTTTCAATCATCTGAATGTGAAAAGCAGTTTTAATAAATTACTTGTCCTGCCCTCCCCTCAGAAATTTCTGAACCAAACAAATCTTTTGAACTCTCAAGTGAAAATGAAGGTGGAACCTGGTTGGGAGATGAAAAGAATAAGATTGGAATTGAAAACCCTTGGTTCTAATGACAAAAACATTTACCAATTTTTCTCTTCAAAGTGATCAAAGGCTCACCTAAAACATGAAGAGACCACTTGTGGCCACATAGGGCTTGTTTGGCTCAGAGATTTAGGCAGGAAAGGGATGGGAGGATTTATTTTTATTTACTAACCTATCTCCCATTGTTAGCTTTAGACTAGATATATCTACATGATTAGTTAGACCATATATCACTATATAGTTTTTATCTTCACTTTATTTTCAACAATCTAAATGTGAAAAACAGTTATGAAAATTCACGTATCCCCTCCCCTCCCATCAGACATTCCTGAACCAAACAAGCCGTTAAAATCTAAGTGACAATGAAGGTGGAACCTGGTTGGAGGATGAAAAGAATAAGATTGAAATAAATACAAATTTAAAAAACTGAACTTCACACGGCAAGATGTGGAATCCGACCTTGTCAAGACCCCACATAGTAACTCTCATAGAACACCTTTTTTTATACTAGTCTCGAGAGTCATCAGCAAAGTAGAGTAATCCTAAACCTATTACCAATGATCTAAAAGTCGGACTAGGCGGGCGCCTAGGTGCCGCCTAGTCGTTGGGCGCTGGCTTACTGAGGCGAAAACATATAATCGGCCTTGTTAATCGGCCAACCGCCTAATCGCCGCACAAACCAACTAATCGGCCGCACAAACTGCCTAGTCGCTCAAATCAACGAAATACATAAAATTCCAGCAAAATGAGTCCAAACTTCTGAAAAAACAGGACTGTATTTTCGGGATTTGGATGTGAAATTCCTTATTTGGAAAAGATCGATGGACTCTCCACTCCTCCGGTGGTCAACGAAGCAACCCAGGTCTGCCCCAATAGAGCTGCCGCGCGGAGAAGTTGAGAGTGCCGCACAATGAACGACCCAAATACGAGCTCTGCCACCTCCGTCAGAGTGCCTCCCGCTTCAATCTTGGTTGCTCTGCCACTGCGCCGGTCCCCGTCCGCCATTAATGTCCGCTTGAGTTCCAGGGGAAGCAAATTCGTGGCTAGAACTGAAATAGGGTATATCTCCTAGAAATACGGTATATCTTAGATGAGACATACCATGGTTGGGAAGGGTGTCCGCCATTGTTCTCCATTATCCCGTCCAAGGCAGCAAGGATGTTTGAGTACTTATTTTATTACTCCGTATTTAATACTTTCTTGTTAGCACAGTTCTAGGAGATAAAATAAAACGGAGTATATTTTTAGGCGGCGCCTAGTCGGCTCCTAGTCGGCGCCTAGGCGCCCTAGGCGCTAGGGGCTCCTTTGGCGCCCGACTAACGCCTACCGACTTCTAGAACACTGCCTATTACAATAGTTTTATAGCTTTATTAGAAAGGTGCACTAGAATAGAATAATACATTAATATGAAGCTCCTACTATTAATTATGACAGGAAAGTTAAAAGTTATATCAATGGTAATAAAGGAGAATAATAATGCTCTGTGCCATAATGTAAGATACACTTCAGTTTGGCACGGGTCTTAAGAAAATAAAGGAAATATTAATTCGTTTACACTTACTGACCTTCAAAAAGTAATAAAAATGTATATGTCCAAGGAACAACAACAACAAACAACAACATCCCAACTTTAGCCCCGAAAGAATTTGGGATCGGCTAACACGAATATAGTTAAAAACGTAACATATTATATAAAGGAAGGGAAAAGGTGCAAATAGGCCCATGTACTAACCAAAAAAGGTCAAATAAGCCCTTATTTAGGAGGCTTTCTCCGGTCGTCGTCATTTGGGGTGGTTCCCGGTGGAATTTTTTGATGAAATTTTTTGAGCATCTTATTCATTAAGTCTAGTTTACTCATACCAAATTTCAGCTAAAACTTCAATAGGGAAGGCATTCAAATGAATTCTTGAAAATAACTGCACAGTTAGAAGCGCAGTTATCTTCAAGAATTCATTTGAATGCCTTCCCGATTGAAGTTTTAGCTGAAATTTGGTATGAGTAAACTAGACTTGATGAATAAGATGCTCCATTAATTTCATCAAAAAATTCCACCGGGAACCACCCCAAATGACGACGGCCGGACAGAGCCTCCTAAATAAGGGCTTATTTGATCTTTTTTGGTTAGTACATGGGCCTATTTGCACCTTTTCCCTATAAAGGAATAAAGTAGAAAGCAAAGAGTTAATAGTGTTCAATTGAGGAATGTTTTCACATTTTTGGTACAACCTAAAAAGGAGTGTGTATCTTACCCAATATGACAGGGAGAGTACAACTAATAACGATAGCAATAGTTCTAATAATAATAATAATAAGAGTACAACTAATAACGACAGAAATATGTCATACACCAAAGGCACTTCTATAAATTCTATGTTTTGTACTTTTTAGTGTGAGGTAATGAAAATATCTGAAAACTATTTCCCATCAAAGAATTTACTTACTCCCTCTGTTTCACAATATATGACATTGCAATTAGCTTTTTTATGTTGATATATATATATATATGTGTATATTTAAAAGATCCTGTCCAGCCATCCGGATAGGATCCTCCGGCCAGCCGGCGCCATTGGGGTGGTTCCCGGTGGAATTTTTTTATGAAATTTTTTCAGCATGTTAGTCGTGAAGTCTAGATTATGTCCACCAAATTTCAGCTTAAAATTCATATCGGGAAGACAGTTAAATAAATTAGAAATAAAGGCTGAAATAAGACTACGGACTTTGGACTTTCCAAACGTAGGACTTGTTTTTAATTTGACAAAATAGGGACCGGCATCTTCAATCGACACCAAACCTCCAAGCGACGCACCAGACTCCAGATCCCACGGTTTTCTCCGAACTTCTCCCCTGCGCGCAACAACAGCACCGAGCAAACCTCCAAACATCAACGTCGGACACCTTTTTGCCGATACACGTCCTCGCCCGCGCCTGCCGCCGCTGCTCGCTAGTAGTGTTGTTCTTCTTCGTCTCGGTGCTTCAGCGGCTCAACAACGAAGCTGTCTTGGTCGACGATTCCATGGACGACGGGAGAAGCTTCTACAAAGCCTTCACCTGCGTTACCAGATCTGTGGTGGATGCAGTTTTGTGTGCGACGGCGGAGACCTTAATTATCAGATCTGCGGCCGCCTGCAGCAGGGGAGGGGGAAATGGTGGGCGGAGGTAACGGGCCTGGTTGCCTGGGGGCACGGGATGAGGCCCAGACAAGGTCTTGGGCGCTGGTGGGGTCGAGTAAGGTTTGTAAGGCTGATCCGGCGGCGGTCGGAGCATGGTTGGCAGCGGCCGGAGCATGGGCAATGGCCGCTCACTGCAGGGGTGGTCAATGGCCGTGTTTGGTCATGACCAGATTGGTCATAGTCGGGTTGGTCAAGGTCGGGTTGGTCATTGGTCGAATTGGTCACAGTCGGATTGATCATGATCGAATTGGTCATGGTCGGATTGGTCATGGTCAGATTGGTCACGGTCGGATTGATCACGGTCAGATTGGTCACGGTCTGATTGGTCACTGTAAGTGGACAGTTTGGTAACTGTAACTGGACGAATTATGTAACTGTAACTATAATTGGGCGGGTCGGTAATTGTAACTGGATGGGTTGGGTAACTGTAACTGGACGGGTCGAGTAGCTGTAACTGTGCGGGCGGGCGTTAGTCACTGGACGGGCGAACGTTGGTCACTGGACGGATTTTGGTCAATATTGGTCCATGTGATTATACTGGAGCACTAATGGATGAGATTATATTAGTTCAAGGGTTTAATAGTCTCTTAATCTCTTTTTAGTCTCATTTTTGGAAAGTGAAAAAAAAGGTCCCTTTTTTATCCATAGCTCTTTTTTTAGTATTATTTTAGACCTAACCCCAATAAATTAATGAAAAACACCGCACTATATATATATATATATATATATATATATAGTTTGGCGCAGTATGTTTCAATAATTTATTTAATGGACTTTCCGATTGAATTTTAAGCTGAATTTTTTTGTGTATAATCTACGCTTCATGAAGAACATGCTCAAAAAAATTCATCAAAAAAATCCACCGAGAACCATCCCAAAAAAATTTCATTAAAAAATTTTCATCCGGCCGGACAGGATCATTCCTCTATGTGTATATATATGTGTATATATATACACACATATCAAGTGAAATTTTAGGTAATATTGATTTTTTAAACAAAATGAGGCCTTATCTCGGATTAAATACTTAATCTCTAATAAGATTTGGTGGCGACTTTGGGAATTTATAGTGAAAATAATATAGTCTACGAATAATTCAAGATTTCCTTGATAATGACAATTTGGAAAAAAACTCTCTTGCTAAGTTGCATTTGTAGCAAAGTAACATTTATATTCTTCCCATTCTATTCTATGTGTTCGAATCGTGAATGAAACCTTCCATTATTTCAAAATTCATTTTTATAATATTTAATGTAAATTCAATATATACAATTTGGATATGACAAAAAAAAACTGAATTCAGAAGTTATAGAAAAACTCAAAAGAAATTAAGAAAATGAGTGAAATATAAAGTTTATTAGAGTAAATGGGGCAGGGGAGTATTGCATTTCAAAGCATTCTTGTTATTAAGTGTAACAAGCCACTCACATGGAATTTGGTTGACCATATTACAGACATTCTATAGAATTCAGATAACAGCCAAACATTGGATGTTCACTAAGCATATTCTTGGTGCAAAAACATCCTTAGAGCACATAACTCTCCTCCACAATTTAAATATTAGTTTGATAAACTCTGTTGGACTCAAAGTTCCATTCTCAAAGATTATAGCAACAAGTTTAATATTAGCACATAAAATTTATGACTTACGAAATATCTTACACCTTAAATTTTTAGTACAGGATTCATCAATTTTTTTTGAAATCTAGACTCATGTAAAACCCTTATAGACCCGAGATGGGAAAAAATTGTACTCCACGCCCATGACAGCTCCTCCACCCTACCCTGGAAACTTTGAAAATTATGCAAAATTGTGAGCCGTAGCTCAAGAAGATCACAACAGGTTTAGAGTGAAGTTTATTTAACTCACCAGAAAGTGAGGGTCAGGTCAACCTCACCCCTCACACCACAAAGTGAGCTTTTATTCTGTTCATCCTAAGAACCAAAACCATTGATTGATGTAACTAACAAGAGGGACCAGAATACCTACTTTAGTGGAGATTTAAAAATGATACAAAGTATTTACAACATCATACATGTAAGAGGTGGTTTAGAAATCATTACTGTCGTAGGACAAAAAACTAACTCATTTGCCTTCACATAATGAAAATATTAAAAGCTCTGTTTAAACACAAAGGGTAAAAACTTACTATGTGAATGATTTAAAATGCTCCACAACAAGTATGAAACCGACATAAGTAAAATGGGATTAGCAGATTTCAGAATAACAACTTAAGGCAATAAAAAGACCAACTTTCAAATGAGTGTTATAAGCCTCCGAAGAACTTTGTATATACTCTACCACGAATTAAACACAAACAGAAATTTTAAAACAAAATATAATCTTTTACCTTTTTTGGCCGACCAAGTGGCTTCCCACTAAGCTTCCGGGGTTTCTTATACACACCACCATTATAAGAAGACCTTGGGGGTCGTCCCCTTGGCCTTGGTGCCTGTGGCGCCATCCCATGGCCACATCCAGAGTTCCAAGCAGCTGGTTGAGTCGATAATCTAGGAGGCCTTCCTCTTCGTTTTGGCATTGGCAACAACACCCCATTTGAGGAACCAACCACAGGAAGTGGTGTTTCTGCCCTAGCGGCAGTGTCATTACTATTAGCAATGGGGACGTTGATCACTGATCCCCCGACAACACCGCCAAATTGATGAGCACTATTCTTTGCAGGCCGTCCACGTGGCCTGCTCGGCGGCTTCATAGCAACTGCAGCAGCAGGTTGTGGGCCCTGTAGAGAAGAAATGTTGGTGTTTCTCTTTGGTCTGCCCCTTGGCCTCCCTGAACCACCAGAAGGGGTGGTCAGTCCAGGCTTACGGGGGCGTCCTCGGCCTCTTTTTACAGAAGTGAGCTGTGCAGGGGATTTGTTTTCAGAATCAGTCTTCTTTGGACGGCCGGGGCGCCTCTTAGTTACTGCAGTATCAATGGTTGCAGGCGGGGGAGAAGCGTCGAGCAACCCGAGAGAAGCGAACACGGATTCAGGCTCCATTCTGGGAACTTCATGGGAATCTGGGACTACGAATGGCTGACCCTCAAACTGGGCTTCTTCCTGGGGGAACTGGAGTTGATCCTGGTCATGAACCTGAAACTGGCTGATGGGTTCGGGCTGAAAATTGAACAGTGGTTGTTGTTGAAATTCCAGCTGATGCTGAGAATCAGGCTGCAGTTGGGTCTCAGGCTTGAGCTTGGGGGGGCGACCAGGCCTTTTCTTCGAGCAGGTAGTTAGAGCTCCATTTTCTTTGATTTCGGGTAGGGGATGCTTTTGTGTCAGAGACCCGGGAAGCTTGTAAGAGTGCTTAACCATAACCAGCTGGCCTGTGTTCTTTAACCGCTTCAGGTGGTGAGACAACAAGGACGAGTGAGTGTGAGGAAGATCCGAGTAGAATCGATCTATGTACCTAGCTATGGCTTGTCTGCTAGAACCGTTAGTCTCTTTTAACGTCGCAACCGCGGTGATTATCATCTACACAGCCCAATCAACAAAACACAGTTAGCAAACCTGAAAAACTATTAAAGATATAGCAGCAAACAAGGAAAGCTCACTTCTTTACTAAAGTAATACGAGCAAAAAGAGCTAATGGCGAAATTACACAAACCTCAGCGTAGGGAGGATGGTTATGGGTGGGTAGATGGACGGGAGTAGGATTAGCGACCTGAGCTACGCGAGAAGAATCCAGAGGTTCACCAACTTCCATCTGCGGCTGCGGCGGCGAGGGAGGTGGTTGTATGAGTGGGTCCATCAGTGTGGTAAAGCAAGAACAGTAATGGAGAAATCGCTGGTTATGGAAATTTGGGATTTAGGGATTCGGAAGAAGAGGGAGAAATAGAGGTGGGAATTGGACCGTTAATGATGACAACGTCACTATAGGAAAGAAAGACTGCCGAAAACGAATGGGAGAATCGGAGAAGTGCCCTTTTTGGTTGGACTGTCTTAGCTCAGAAGAACTTTAATCCCAAATTAGAAGATGAAGTATATTTATGTCTCAAAACTATTAATCTAGATCTAAATTGTTACCGGAGTATGAATTTTATAATTATTTTTAATTTTTAAATTTATTTAATTTTACTAAATTAATACATTTTTATGAAGAAAAATATATTAAAAATTAGGAATTGAACTAATAAAAATAATTTGAGAACAGATATTATAATAGATTTAAAAAAAATATGAACGAATTAAATAAATTAAAACATATTCTTTTCTTTAATAGGGAAATTAATTGTCAATTAGGACGGGAGTTTTGCCATCCTGAAAAGCTTCCATTTATTTTCTGTCAAAAAAAAAATCACAGGAGTGGCTTTCAGCTTTCTCTCGATACGCAAAACATGTTGGCACAGCTGAAGGAAACGTACGCATGCATCCCCTCAACTGAACGGGGTCGGGGCATCCTGATTTCCGGCGACCACAAGTCCAACTCCATCCTCTACTGCAATGGCCGATCCATTATCATCCGGTACCTTGATCGCCCGCTCGAGGTCTCCGTCTACGCTGAACACGCTTACCAGACCACCGTCGCCAGATACTCCCCCAATGGAGAGTGGATCGCCTCCGCCGACGTCTCCGGTACCGTCCGGATCTGGGGCACGCACAACGATTTTGTTCTCAAGAAGGAGTTCCGTGTCCTCTCGGGTCGGATAGACGATCTCCAGTGGTCGCCTGATGGGATGCGCATTGTTGCTTCCGGTGATGGCAAGGGGAAGTCCTTGGTTCGCGCATTCATGTTAGTTAGCTTCCAAATTACGAGATTTTAATCATTTCTGGAACTCCCGTCGATTTCGAATAAATGCGTCAGTTATGGATGAATGTCAATTTTGCCCCTTTGTTTTTCAATGAATATGATTGGTTTGGAGCGAGTTCCATTTGGGGTCATAACAATGCTGCAATATGTTTTTCATCCTCTGTTCTATCATCTGTAGCTAATTGCAATGCTTCAATTTCTGTTGTGTCTATCATGGCAGGTGGGATTCAGGTTCTAACGTAGGAGAATTCGATGGCCACTCAAAGCGAGTGTTAAGTTGTGCATTTAAGCCAACTAGACCTTTCCGCATTGCAACATGTGGAGAGGACTTTTTGGTGAACTTTTATGAAGGCCCCCCCTTTAAGTTCAAGCAATCTCACAGGTATCTCTTTTACTTTTTTTTTGTTAAATTTATATTATTATTATTATTAATTTATTATATGAAACAAAACCAATGGTATCACCGCTCTTTGAAGTGCGGAGTATCCTCATACTCCATGCATGCATTTTCCCTGGTTTGTGTCTACCTTAGTACCCAGCCCTAAATGGCTTCCTGGTACTATTCATGCCTATTCACCGAACCAACTCCTTATTTTTTTAAAGGGCAATTGGCATAACCAATTGAAGTTTTTCTTCATATCCAAAGGTATATGAGAATTAATCGAAGATGAATATGAAGACCCATTTGCCAATAGGACAAAGTGGACAGTTGTGCAACAAGGAGCGTATAGAGAAAATGTGAAGAACAATGCTAAAGGGTGAAATTATATTCATTAAGATGTGAGTAGGACAACTTACATTTGGATCTATGGTATTTTCAAATTTAGAGAATTATAGCAGGTTCCAAACCAAAAATTTCAAGGGAACAAAAAAAGTAATTTCCATCACACTTCAAACAGATGAGGAATTTTTCTTAACATATGAAGGAGAATGAATCAGTTCTAGATTTTTTCTCCCAAGCAACAGAGATAGTAAATCAATAAAAAGTTACAGAGATAGCATTTAGGAGAAGATAAACATTGAAAAAATTATAATGTTAATAACTGAGCGCCTGAAGCAAGCATTAAAGTATGAAGTTGGTCTCTCTAGAACACATTCACATGTAAAGAACAATTGTGATACTAGCTCTTTCCCTCGTGGCGAAGGCAGTGGGAGGAGAGGAAATCAGCAACAATGATAAGAAAGTTCTAGTTCATATTGCATCATATGCAAAATGCCCGATCATAAGTCATTCAGATGTTACTATAGGTACAAAAACATACGGAATTCCTAATTATTCTCAATGAGATTAATCGCACCAACATGAAGCAAATTAATTACGAAGAGAAAGACATCAAGTCTTTCCTCTCTTTATTCCAATTTGTAATAAGATTGCATTGAGTAGTGAAGTTGATGATGAATTGTATCTTTGACATTTGAGATATGGTCATTTACCAATTACATCATAATGGGATGCAAGTGCTTAATTGCAAAGAAATAGTGATTGGAGTTCAAGAAATTAAAGGCAAAAAATGCTTATGTTAAGACTTCATGTATGGCAAGATGCATCGCCTACCATTTGAGAGTTGTCAAAAGTGTCATACTGTCATCATGGTTGATATTGACAACTTCAGTCTATCCAAAACTTCCTCTCTTGAAAACAATTGATATTTTCTTCCATTTGTGGATGATTACACTCACGATTACATTCAACAACAAAAACAACATCCAAACATTAGTTCCAAAAGATTTTGGGGCTGGCTATGAATTGATAAAATAGGCTGATACCTCCATCATTTCCAATGGAGCCAAAAACCCACTATTTTTGGCTTGGAATATGATGAAATAAAGCAAAATGACTCATTACACTCCATGCAATTCTCGAAGCGGTGTGCATCATGGATCATCCGGAAACAGTGTTTCTGAGCTTTAGTACAAGGGTAAGGCTAGGTATATCCGACCCTCCCTTACCCCACTGTAGGTGGGAGCCTTTGCGGCACTAGGGTAATGTTATTGTGATAAAATAGTCAGATAGCTTTATTATATTTCTACATCTTAATGCTTTAGTAGAAATGCAAATTGGTTTCCTAATGAAGACACTCGTAACTAACCATGGTGGAGAGTTCATAGACAAACCCTTCATGAAGTATTGTAGAGAAGAAGGCATTCAGGGACAACTTGATCTTCGGTATATGCCCTAGCAGAAGGGAGTCGCAAGAGAAAAATTCAAACAATTGTTAAGATGAGAAGAAGCTTGCTAAAGGGTAATAGCCTTCCCAATAGCCTATGGGCAGAAGCTCTCCATGTAGCAGTTTACATCTTAAGTGGCTCTCTTATGAAGCCTGTTTGCAACAAGACTCCATTGAAGCTTGGAGTGAGAGAAAATTAGCTGTGAGTCACCTTAAAGTATTTGCGAGGCTGTGAGTATAACATATGCATTATCCATACAAAGCTAGATTTGATAATAAAAAAAAGGTCAGAAAATGCTCTTTGTTGGTTACAGTCGGGAATCTAAAGGCTATATACTTCGACACAACAACTTGGAAATGGCCTGATAATGAAAATTCACTTTCAAATGCCACTCATGATCACACAAGTACTGGCAAAAATGTCCAACAGAAAAGCATCACAAGCACAATGGCTTCATATATGCAGATTAATATCAAGCCAGCTCGACCACTATGGCCATTGGGTGCCTTTTGTACTACAACCGGGTGTATCATGTTAATTGACTCTACATGTGAAGTTGTGAACCATGTACATATGATGAATCTGCATAAGAAGTTGCTTGGAGGAATGCATCAGGTGATGGAACTGCCATAATCGAGAATAATAGAACTTGGTGGTTCTTAGATCTCCCAATAGCAACAAGTTGATCGGTTTGAAATGGGTATACAAGTACAGTACTATTAGAACTACTCAAGTGCAAAGCAAGAATAGTTGCCAAAGGCTACACACAACAACCTAGAATTGATTTTAATGAAAAGTTGCCCCGATTGCTCACGTAGAAACAGTTGATTTGGTGTTGGCTTTTGCAGCTCAATTGGAGTTGGAGTTGCAAGTATTTCAATTTGATGTGAAATAAGCTATTCTAATGGAAAGCTAGAGGAAAACGCATCTGTGGAGCAGCCACAAAGGTTGAAATGAAAGGAAAAGAAGAAAGGTGTACAAATGTAGTAATCTCTTTATGGGCTAAAACAAGCTACAAGAGTATGGAAGAACAAGATTCATAGCTACCTTTAGTAATATGACTTCACAAGAAGCCCAAATGAGCCCTCACATTATGTCAAGACTAACTGACTAATCACTAATGGACAGAAGTTCCGGACCTGATATATACCAGAAATACTCCCTCTATGATGGCTGGTTTTAAGAGAAATATGAAGAAAGAATTTAAGATTATGACATATCTGAGAATTATGAAATATCTTCTTGGAATCCAAGTCAAGCAAACTAGAGGAGAAATTTTTATGGTCTTACAACTATTTTTTGTGTAAATATGGCAACTTATAGCCCTTGCGAAGAATCCCATATTCTGTGCAAGGATAAAGCACATCGATATACATCATCATTTCAAGTGTAACTTGGTCGACAAATTAATACTCCCTCAGTCCCAGCTTGAACTTCTCACTTGCCTCTTTCGGACATCCCAAATAAAGGTTCTCATATCTATTTTAGGAAATGATTAACACCCTTAAATGACAACTCAACCATGAAATATTAAAAATAATATACCTATAATATCGTAGTTGTCATCAATTACCTTATTATATTATATACCTATCAAAATTACTTCTCAAAAATTCAAAATATACATGAATAACCTTATTTTTCAATGAGAAGCTAAATCCGGGATGATGGAAGTACTTTAATTATAATTCATATAAAACAATTGAATAGCGTGCAAACATGCTTACTAATCGAATTACAATAAAAAAAGTGTAAGAAGTTCAAGGGGTAGCTGAATATTAAAAATTAAATTGCAACTTTTGAATAGATTGTAATCAACTTCATATTCCGGAAATTGCTGAAAACCCCAGATTGTTCTAAGGATTCAAATAGTGTAATTTGTATTTACTTTCATTTAATTTCTCTTAGGTGTTATCAGTTGTCTTTTGCACACGTAGTTAGGAATGTTCTAGATTTTGCCGCCACCGTCGTTGTTCCATGTGGATTGGTGGAGTGAGAAAGCAAATTCTTGATGCAGACTTATTTGGAATTGACACTAACTAAAAGATTTATAGTACCTACATTATTCTTTGACACTTAGGGCCTGTTTGGTATGGCTTATATTACCGAAATGACGGAATCCACTAATTTCTTGAAAAGAAGTAATGTTTGATAACATCTATTTCAGCCAAATATTTAAGTCAAAGGTTCCTTATTTCTTCTGTACACTAGAATAGGTAGACTAATCGAGTATGTCTACAATTAGCATGAATAGGGCCAATTTTTATGAAACAAGTTTGTGAAACATTTAGTAAGCCATAATGGGCGGATGTAGGGGTGAGCTCCTTGAACTGGAGTTCACCCCAAATTCTTAATAATTTCGTAATTAATATTAAAATTTTGATATATTTAGTAATAAGCCCAACCCAAATTTTAACAAAAGTGTACCCCAAATCAGTAATCCCAATATGCATTCTCTCTTGTCCCATAAAACGTTAGCAAATTTGAGTGTCAAATGAAATAAGAAAGTAAAAACCGTGTAATTCAAGTTTGTGTAGAGGAAAGAAAAATGATTTTAACCACAAATTGGTCGCTTTAATAATAAAGTGGCAGAATTTTGGCACGACCAAATATGAAATTTTGTTCAAAAGTTTATCATGTTTAAGATCGGATATTAGACATATGGATTTAACATTGTTATTTACATCCACATGATAAAATGAACGGATGTCTAAAGCACATAGAAACTGTTTCCGGATGAACGCGGCCTTATCCATATACTAAAGCACATAGAATCTGATGACCCGTGATGAAATTCACGTCAAAAATTGCATGCTTCTTCATAACAAAGAAGCGTAAATAGTTTTGTGAGTCATTTTGCTTTATTCCATCATCTTCCCAAGCAAAAGAATAGTGAGTCTTTGGCTCCATTGTAAATGATGGAGTAAAGGATTTTTTTGCTAATATTAAAATTAAATTCATATTACACGTATATGCACATATTGTGTGTATTCACATAATGTTTACTATATAGCCCACCCACCTCTTATTTCTGGATCTGCCTGTGTAAGCCATAATGCAATGTAATAAAATGGTGTAGTCAAATACAAGTACTTTTTGTGTGAGTTTACATCACACGTGCATTTGATTACATTGCATTGCGTTTCAGCACATTTTACCGAACTATGCTCTAGTACATTAAGTATGTTTTTACATGGACTGTTTTCAGTCCCAAACCAGCCCATACCAGACATTTACCATATTAGACCAGACCGGAAAATTCCAATCCAAGTAAAAACATCATAACATCCAGGTACTCATTTTAGATGTTAGGGTTAATGTCTGAGTATCCCTGTTCTGATAAAAATAGGGGGTGGCTGGATAGAGAAAAAGAGAAGACCTGCACTGAGTTACTTTCATGATCATTTTGTGTGTGTACCTCAATATCTTGAAAGATCACTAACAAAAGGGGTTTTAGTGAACTTTAATTACTAAATCTAATACTGTATTTTTAGTCTGATATTATGATTTCACTTTGTATGATGACACTTATTGTTTTGCATGCTATTTAAACTTATTAATTAGGACGTTTAAACATGCAGGCATCATTCTAATTTTGTGAACTGCTTGCGGTTCTCTCCAGACGGAAACAAGTTAATTAGTGTCAGCTCTGATAAAAAGGGCGTACTCTATGATGCCAAAACAGGAGATAAAATTGGAGAGCTATCTTCCGAGGATGGCCATCAGGGAAGTGTATATGCAGTGAGTTGGAGTCCTGATAGTAAACAGGTAGTTCTTCTTTCTCTCTGGTCCCAAACTTTTTGATTATTTTTGCCTCATAAACTTTCTATTGTACTTGCCCCAATTTCTCCTGTCTTAATGCTGATGTACTTGTGCCCTTGAACTTCGGCTACTCAGATTTAAGACAATAATGATAATTATTCGAATTCTTCTTGGAAGTCAGTCTAATGTTGCATTTTTTATCCCCTAACTACAGGGAACTGGAGAAACTAGTACCGCGAGAATTGTTAACCAGAAATTTCAAAGCCACCAATAACTGCAAAGTCTACCAGAAAATAATGTCCAAATTGAGGAGCAGTGACTTAGTACTGGCATGACAATTCTATTAAATTTTAAAAAGCCAAAAATGTATAATTTAGAATAAAAAGTATGACCATAAACATAAAAAATTCATATTTATCATTTATTAATTTTTATGAAATTGACATCTTCATATCTTGAAAGCATTAGGTCTACATTGCTAAATAAGTTTCACCATCGCTAATGTTGCCAACCCCATTTATAGTTAGGCTTCAAAATATATAATTTACTCCTTTCGAACTATAATTTCCGCTGATTTTTCAATTTTTGGTGACTAGGACTAAATTCTCAAAGTTTTGAAAGTAATATTTCTAAATGGCCAAACCATCTAACAGCGCTAATTTGTCCGACCCGGTATAAGTGCGTGACAAAATGCAATTTGCCCCATGACCTTTTACTTTCCATGAATTTGTTGTTAATAAAAGTTGCGAAGTTGAGGGCATAATTATTTAAGATAGGGTGTCTTGGTTTCTTTTGAAGTTTTGCATTTACTGAATGGCTTCTTAGTTTGCAACTTCTATTGGTTATCTTAGTGACCCAGATTTGTGAATGTTTTGACAAGCTCAGGTGTTAACTGTGTCTGCCGACAAGTCAGCCAAAATATGGGACATATTTGATGATGGAAATGGGACAGTGAAGAAAACATTAACTTGTTCTGGTTCGGGTGGAGTTGAGGACATGCTGGTTGGGTGTCTCTGGCAGAATGATCATCTTGTCACCGTTTCTCTTGGTGGCACTATTTCAATTTTCTCTGCAAGCAATCTGGATAAAGATCCTATTTCTTTTTCTGGACACATGAAGAACGCCAATTCATTAACAGTGCTGAAAAGTGAGCCGAACTTTATATTATCTAGCAGCTATGATGGTTTAATTGTAAAGTGGGTTCAAGGAGTTGGTTATTGTGGGAAACTAGAGAGGAAGGAAAATTCTCAAATCAAATATTTGGCTGCTGTTGATGGAGAAATCGTTTCATTTGCATTTGACAATAAAGTGAGTCTTCTTTACCTTTTGTTGGGGTTTCCTTAGGATTGACCCAACATAGAATTCTTTGACCGAATATTAGTAAGGCTAACCGCAACCATGGTTGGTGCATAAACCAAATTCCCCACTAATATATACGAAAATTTGGTATTCACTTAGTCAATCCAATTTTTCCGTGCAATCCAGCACCTGGTCAATATATTCACCCAACATAGTTTTTTGCAATTTATTTTGTAAATAACTACGATTTGAAAAGTCAAACGTTCTGATTTAAAATAAATAAATTTGGATTTTGGAGTTTAATTTTGTTATTGTGACTTCAGACTTCTTTAAAAAATAACTAAAAGATGTACAACAATTTTTTAACCATAAGATTTTTAATTTTAGCCCTTGCATCTACTAAAATAAATTTGGGCCTAAAAACCTTCCGCAGTTGAAACTTCATATCTTTTTTAAACTCTGTATATACAATATTGGTCTCATATGAAAGATTATAAATAGTTATGAATTTTGATATTATTTTTTAATTATTGGAGTACAAATAAAAAAGTTATAACACTTAAAAAGAAAAATGGATTTTTTTTCTCCTAGCCTCCTAGGTCCCTCATCCGTGCAAATTCTCTTTAGCAGCCTCTTTTCTCAGCCATTCATTCTTTCAGCAGAAGGGTGAATAGTGGTGGCAAATCCCCCACCCAAGGGTGCAACACACATTTATGCACCCACTTTGGCACCCTTCTATACATTTTTTGGGTGGGTTGCATACACTTTGGGGTGAAAAGCTCAAAAATGTTTTTTTCACCCCATGGGTTGCTGTTAGCCTAAGAATGGTAAAGATGAGAATAAAGTAAGAGAATAATGAGAGCTGAGAGATTTCTATTGTACTTATTGGTCCCTTTTTAATTAGCCATCTTTGACTTTTCTTGTCAATGATGATAAACTTTGGTCAAAGTTATAAGGCTTGGGTTATAAATCATGCAAGTCATTTAGTAATTTGACCAAACCTCAAGGGAGAGTGTAGTTTCAATTAGAACCACCTAGTTACACTTAGTTCTCACTTACTCTGACTTGGACTGAATCTAATTTGACTTGGATTCTATCCAATGATGACCGTTTCTAATAAATAAAAAAAGTTTTTTTTTGGATAAAATAAACATCAAGTTCAAACTCAATTAATTTATTTTATTTTAGATATCTGTGAATAATGCAAACTCCTCTATTGTTTTGTTTTTATTATATAATAGCAAAGAAATCTTAATATATGTAATACGGAGTATAAAATAAGGTATTAATCATTTATCATGTTCTTTTGCATTGTCAGAGGCAAATCCAAACGTATGATTTTTGTCATTTTCTCCCTTTAGTATTTTCTGGGATCAAGGTATACCCTAAAATTATACTCGTTGGTTCAATACCTTATTTTACTTCTATGTGTCAATCAGATATGGAGAGCTTCTCTATGTGGAGATCAATGTTCCAGTGAAAAAACTGTTGACATTGGGAATCAACCAAACGACTTGAGCCTCGCTCTTCACTCGCCTGAACTGGCTTTAGTATCGATCGAGACAGGAGTTGTTCTCATTCGTGAGACCCGTGTTGTCTCAACCATAAACCTCGGATTTCCCGTGACGGCATGTGCAATATCGCCCGATGGAACTGAAGCCATTGTTGGTGCCCAGGACGGTAAATTACATATTTTTTCTGTTTCAGGTGATACTCTGAATAAAGAGGATGTCCTTGAAAAGCACAGGGGAGCAATTACTGTCGTTCGGTACTCTCCAGATTTGTCTATGTTTGCCTCTGGTGATGTCAACCGAGAGGCTGTTATCTGGGATCGTGCTTCTCGTGAGGTAACTTGGGCTCCATTTGGTACCCAGTTCTGATAAGCTTTTAACTTATTTGTGTTACCTAACACATTTCCTTCTTTCTGATATGCCAAATACTGAACCAAACATATGCTTAGTTTATGGACTCGGGGTTTATATTACATCCGTGTTGGAGAAAGCTGATATGCTTGTCTCTTCCAGGTAAAACTTAAGAATATGTTATACCATACTGCTCGGATAAACTGCTTGGCGTGGTCCCCAGATAATAAAAAGGTAGCGACCGGATCACTAGATACTTGTGTCATCATATATGAAGTGAACAAACCCGCCTCCGATAGAACAACAATCAAGGGAGCTCATTTGGGAGGAGTATATGGATTAGCTTTCTTGGATGACCATAATATTGCAAGCTCTGGGGAAGATGCATGTGTCCGTGTTTGGACCCTAACCCCACAGTGACCAATATTGCTGGTTTAAAGTGACCAAGATCATGGGGACAGTTTGGAATGTGTTCTTTATTAGTTTTTCCCCTGAGTTGGCTGCAATGGTGTCTGTGAAGAAAAAGAATATATCCACGTGATTACGCGATTAACTAAATTAACTTTTTTTAGTTAATTGCATACAATTAAAAGATTGTGATCATTTACTAGATGACCATCGAGATTTTGTTACCACTTTAAGAGTTATAGATTATTGAATACAATGATATTAAAAATGTGTATCTTTGTATTGAATTTGGTTGCTTGGTAATGCATTTTCTTTGTTAAATATGTAGTATTTGAAAGTAGCTCTAGAAAGGATCTTTCAAATTAATATTGAGGGAAACTTAATGTGAAATACTCAATTCATACTAATATGATGTTATATGGAACATTTTTTTAGTAGGGAGATTTACCTAAATAGAAATAATCAAATTCTTAATTGTCAAAATTGGACATAAGTTTCAAAACTTCCCTAACTAGAAATTATTATTTGTACTGGACAAAAATACTCATGAGTCATGAAGCTTGACAAAAATAATGTCGCTGACAGTCGACAGATCGTCGATCCGACCGTCGTTGCAGCCTCAAAACTAGTGGTGGACTCGGGCTGGGCGGCCCGGCCCGGCCCGGTTACTGTTTGGCCCGGCCCGGCCCAGGGCCCGGTGGGTCCACCGGTTCGGTTCGGCCCGGCCCGGCTGCTGGGCGGTTCGGGCTCGGGCCCTGTTTTTGGTGAACCGGCCCGGCCGGTTCGGGCCGGTTTTTAATTATTTTTTTTTTTGAATTTTTTTTAAGTTTTGGGTTGGATTAGGTATTTTGAGCCATTTGAGGTGGTTTGGGGTGGTTTGGGGTTGAGGGGGAGGGGTTGGGGGTTAAATAGAAGAGCCAAAAAAAAAAAATTATAACCGGTTAGGCCCGGCCCGGTTTGGCCCGGAACCGGAACCGCCCACCGGCGGTTCGGGCTCGGGCCCAACATTCCTGGCCCGAGGCCCGGCCGGGCCCAGGCCCGAACCGGCCCGAGTCCACCACTACTCAAAACTAGTCGTCATTAAAGATTTCACAGCCGCCACTATATATTTTGCTATTGCCGCTGCAGATTTGGCCGTTGTCGCTGTAGATCTGGCCGCCGCCATTGCAGATCCGGAAATAGCTATTGTAGATCTGATTGTTGTCGCCAACTCGCCACTGATGCCAATATTTTTATCAGAATGCCAACATGAATTCAAAATGCCATTTAATGGCATTTTCAAAGAAAAATACGAAAATTTTTGAAGAGTAAGAATGTCATTTTGAGGACATTTTTTTAAAAAATGGCAATTGTAGCAACCAGAGAAGAAACTGAGCACCGGACCTACGGCAAACAAAAGAGTGGAAGAGACAAACAGAGAGCATTTAGAAAAACCAAAGATGAGGAAGAAGAAAAACTAAAGCAAAGCTCACACAAATTCGTATAAACAAAAGAAGAAAAGTACAATCAACAACACAGATGGAGTACGAATCCCTGTATGAAAAGTTCTTAATGTTAATTGAGTCCCAGATTCTCCATTTGATTGACCTGCGCAGTGCCCTCACGCGAATCCAACCCAAAGGACATCATAGTATAGTGATCTTAAGACTGAAATTATATACTTGAGAAAGAATTGCTCAGAGAGCCAACCCAATTGCCAAGGCTGGTCCATCTTGATCAAGAAAGACGAGATGGTGCGGCTTCTCGCGACTATGAGTGCCTTAGACAGGAAAAACTTAAATCAATCCATTGTCAGACAAAGAAGATAGAAAAGATTGGACATTGTTGCTACAAAGAGGAAAGGCATCAACTGCATATCTACGGAAAAGAAGAAAAAGTAGATGACCCCAACGCTTGGCACTGCCGTCGCCACACCGGATTCAGACGAAAAATAAAAAAATTGAAGAAAACAGATGAGTGCGAGGAAGAGATGCTCACTGCCACATCTTGCCGATGTTTGTTGCCGCTGCTCGCTGCCACTCGTCATTGAAGCTCAGCTCGCTGGTGCGCAAATTTGCGACCTTGATGACTGATGGAGGTCATGAGTTTGCCGCATGGTTGAAATGAATTAGAGGGGTAAAATTGGAATAAAACTGTACATACTCCTACTTAGGAATTTCAGGAACAATTTAATCCTATTCAGGGCTATTCATTCTTTTCGATATAATATTGAGGGGCCTTATTTGTAGTTTTGGAAGAGCAGAGCTAGCTTGAATGCAAAATAGTTAAAGGTGGGGACGGAGGTACGCATGGGGGTAGGGGCCCTTCCCCACAACTTTTTTATTTTTTTAATTATACTAGTATTAGATATGAAATAATCTGAAAAGATCGGGTCGGAACTACTAGTTATTTGCTTCCTTCGAGGGCTTTCTTACTTATTTTTCTATTAAGTTTTGTCTATATTAAAATGTTTATCTATATTACGATGTCTGTCTGAATTCAGTGATTTTTTTAAACTCGAAAAGCAAACCACCAAAATTATTGGTTAGGAGAAGCCGGAGAACATTTGTCAAGTTTTATTATGAAGTACAGAAAAACTGAAACAGAACTAGAAAAGAAATCGGGAGGATCAAACTGTACCCAATGTGAACAAATAGGCCCGTCTAGATGATATTGGGAGATCATTTGGGCTCGGACAAATAACTAGTTGGGGGCGTCTTCTCTTTTGCGAGGTAATGGGCGACCAAATTACCTTCGCGCATAACATGTATGAGATTGAGTGATGTTTGTATATGAAGATGTTTAATTTGTGTGCTAAGTAAACCATCTGGATAGAGTAAATTAATCAATTTAATATTATTATAAGGTTATATTGACAATAAATAATGTCATTTATTAACATATATCTATTCCATATTGAGTATGAGTATAGAAAAACTGACTAAATAGACGTCTTAATGATCCCATGTAGCTCAAGGGGGCGTGTACTTTCTTATCTTGGATTTTGGTTGGTTGATGTGCTATTGGGTGTATTCATGTGAGTTTGTATACCATATAGCGGTTGTACAGGTTGTACCGTATAACCGGTAACATTTTTCGTAATTTAGGTGAAAATCACGGTTTCTGTTAAATGAGCATTAGTGCACTTTTAATGGGCACCAGACGTCTTTTGTTGAGTATTAGGAACTTAATAATGAGCATCATGATTTCTGTTTTGCATCTTCTAATTTACTTTCTTTTTCTTATTTCTTATATTATCAAAATTTCTTAAATTTCAAAATTTCTTTTCTTAAATTTCTTACATCACTTTTTAATGTTTTAATCAAATACATAACTTTTTATTTCACACGCTGGATTATGTAATAATCATAATAATTAAGGTTGAAGTTTTGGTCTGAATTGAGTGCAGTTATTGTACAGAAGTATTTTAGCTATTTTCATATAATTTTATATTTATTTTGTGAATAATATATGCTCCGGGTACTTTAAATATAATTTTTTATAATTAATCACATTCAGTCAAATATTTAGCATATTCCAGATACTTTAGTCAAAATATCATTAATTTCAAAAAATTCAATTGACTCTGCCAATTTCATCATTAATAAACGGACACTATTTATTTGTTGAATTTTGCAACTCGAGCAAGATGCAATAAGATATACTTGTATTACATGACTTTCCACGTAATCCAAAGCCAATCCTCCTGCATTAGAATACGGTATACATGAGTAGAAGGCATAAATTTTAGCTTAAAGCCTTAAACACGCAAAATGTCCAACTCTCGTTACATAAAAAGGCCGGTTTAACTCGTTAGGTTACCCCATTGCTCCATATTTTGGGGGAGGAACCCTCGGGCAGTTGGGCCTTTTCCGAAGCCAGAATGGACTTTGACCCACCCTCACATCCGCATCCACTCGGCTTTGCAACAAGAAAAAAAAAGATTGGTGTACACAAAAGTTGTACATTTGTCTGTCCTTCACAGACAAGTTGTCTGTCCAGAGACGAGTTGTCTGTCCATAGACAACTCGTCTCTGGACAAACAACTTGTCTGTGAAAGACAGACAAGTGTACAACTTTTGTGTACACCTAGCTCCACTCTTGCAACAACATATCACTTGTCTTTCGTTTTATCTTACTTTGATTCACTTTTTCTTCAAATCTTAATGTAAGATTCACATGTGAGCTTTGTCATAGAACAAGGTCTACAATTTATCTCCATTTCTCCTCTGTTTAATTTTTCTTTACAAATCATCACTTTATATATCCTTCCGTTTCAAAATGTTTGACGCACTTTGACTTCATAAAGTTTAGGGGGAATTTGTTGAGGGTAAATTATATTGTAGAGTACAATGTTTTGAAGATACTATTTTGTACTGTATTAATATAGATTTGTTTACCAAATAAGGAAATAAGGTAGTGTGACATTCATTTTGAAACATCCAAAAAAGGAAAGTGTGTCAAAGAATTTGAAACGGAGAGAGTATTTAACAAAAATAATCGTCTTATTCTTATATCTCTCTTATGTAACATATGATGAATTTTACTACAACCCACCCTATGCCCTAAAGGCCGTCACCTAAACTAATTAACGCATCTTAATATTTAAGTTTCAGACTTCTTTCCTTCTAAAATGATTTGTAAAATCTACCTTTCCTTTTGAACACAACTTGATTTTATTTACTATTTTAGAATATCAACTTGTTGTCAAAATCTCAAAGCCGCCTTTTGAGAGGTGCAATAGATGTGTGACATCGGCGCCCACTTTTGTAGGGTGCCCCAAAGAACTAGTATGTAGTAGTGGTAATGTATTATTACATACTTAACAAGATGTATAACTTTTAGATCATCAAATTTGCGTACTTTAAACATTACAAAACTTATATTTCACTAAACTATCTATTCTTATATCAATATTAAATATTAAATTTTATGTTCTTTCGGGTCGCTCGGATGCTTCGGATATCATTTAAGATAAATGATTTAAGATAAATGTTTCCCCATACCAACGAAATCCGCATGGATGGGTGTAACTATATTATTATTTAGTTCACGATAGAACAAAAATAATGGTAGGCGGCCGCTAAAACTTGACATAGTTTTTGCTTTTTGAATGCATAAATAGCTAGGCAGCGTATAGTACCGCAATTGTATCCCACAAACACTCCGATCCGATCCTTTTTATATTTGGGTCATAATCCATATATAATTCATATATATCGAGATGCTGGCGGCCTGCAGAAGAGCAGTCGTGCTTCTGTTCCTTACCACTACTCTCGTTCTGGTTCGATGTGAGGGGGCGCCACCGGAGAAGGGCCTGAGCAGAGACAGCTTTCCGGCGGGCTTTCTCTTCGGCACCGCCACCTCCGCCTACCAAGTTGAAGGAGCCACCGACGTTCATAACTATGGTCGCGGACCAAGTATTTGGGACACCTTCCTTAAAACTCCCGGTATAGATACATATACTCCCTATATTCTTTCATCAACCATTACACATATACTCCCTACACTCCATATGAAAACAGTCTATGGACAAGGTTAATAACGTTTTCGCTTACATTTTGGAACACTCGGTCAAATACACTCATCACATTTTTCTACATCTTAGTTTAGTAAAACATTGATTAATATATATATATATATATATATATATATATATATATATATATATAATGTTTTACTTTATGTTTTTTCTAAATAATTACTCCCTCCGTCCCCGTAAGAAGTTCTCCATTTGACTTTCACACACTTTTATGCAAGTAAACTTACCAGGGGTAAATTTTACTGTTTTGACACTGTTTTGCACTGTTTGACACTGTTTTGATGTAGATAACTTTCCATTTAAGGAAATGAGAACTTAAATTAGGGACATCCAAATAAGGAAAGTGAGAACTTCTTTCAGTGACGGAGGGAGTATGAAACTAAAAAATACATATTTGGATTTTAAAAAAATAACCTTCATTATATCTATGTGTATGTTTTACTCTTATTTTAAGCAAATTTTATGAAAAAACTAGAATCACCGTTTCTAAAACAAAATTCGCACATTCAAAATTTGTTAATTTAGTTTGGTCGCTAATTATTCAAGATTAGGTTAATATATGAAAATATGAAATGAAAAGCTCGTGTTATAATTATATAACAATATTGAGATACTGATACTGTTGACTACATGTGAAAATCAAAGTACTCAATAATGCTTTATTCTAGGACATAGATGGTTCTTAATTGTAGGGACCCGGTCCAGAAATTATGAGGTGTGGTAAACAGTCTATTAATCACATTTTTGTTTTTCAGATCAACAATGCTTGATGTACCCACTCTTATACCCACTTTACACTCGTCGTGTTTGTGAAGTGTTTTTTTTGTCTGTGAACTCGATTCACAGACAATATTTTGTTTGTGCAAAATATTGTATGTGAACCAGAATTCATAGACAAAAAAACAATTCATAAACATAGATGGGTACAAAAGTAGATATAAAAGTGAGTACAAACATCATTTTTGTTTTTAGATTGACTTGAGATGTTTGATTGTGTCAAGCGACTATATAAAATGTTTGGTAAATGGCTATTTGATTTGGTTGTTTGCCATGAAAAAGACATACTCGTAATTAAAATGATACTCGTAAAGTCGTAAATGTTTGGTAAATGGCTATTTGATTTGATTTGGTCATTCATTGACTATTAATGATTATTCAAATAATGAAACAAAGAGAAAATATTTATGACAATGTAATAACAATGATGAGATGTATGGGGTGTTTGGTCAGGAGCAGATCATTTTTTGGCTGATTTGACTAAGATTTAACTTTTTGACCAGATCAATCCGCTAATAAGGTGTGGTTAAACAGCAGCTTCATTTGCCTTTATCATCCAAACTGACGAAATACGAAACATTATTACTCGTGGAGTGTACAAATGGCCTTTCTCTATTTTTACCAATATTCCTTTACTGCCCACCCCACTCTCTTCGACTCTTCTTACCTGCCTCCCTCCGAGTCTGTCTCCCACACCATTGAGTAAAACCATTGGAAACCATGCGCTAGTCTAATTACTTTTCTCACTCCGAGAAAAGTAGCACTGTAGCACCAGCCAAGGGAGCAACTGAGCAAGTGTCCATTTAATAAAATATTCTGTTTACTTTTTTCTTCAATTTAATTTCAATTAGTCTTGTGGGAGGGAACGAAGGGAGCAGCCTAATTAGTTTAATTTCAATTTAATTAAAGCATAAAAACGGTCAAAATTGTTGTGTTTATTCATCAATTAAAAATTAATTGTTGTCCTTAATAGTCATTTAACAAATTATCAGCCGATTGTAAACAGTTATTTAACCAAACACCATTTTATAAACGGCTAATATCATCAGGTAATCAAAACAGCAAACAGAATTTGCTGTTATCAATCAACCAACAAAATCAGCAACAGCTAACGGCCAATTACCAAACACCCCCACTATCACATACAATAGTATATTACTGCTATATACTACGTATAATATTATTTTATAATCTACTAAAAATAAACTTATTTAAAATATTAATGCTGAAAATATATGAATTTGTGTATACGTGTGTGAAGTGTGGAGTATATCAAAGTTAAAATTAATACAATTTTAGAATATATATATATATATATATATATATATATATATATATATATATATATATATATATATGCCTGTACATAAATATTTAATAATAATAATAATAGTAATAGTAATAATAATAATAATAATAATAATAATAATAATAATAGTAATAAAAATAGTAATGATAATAATAATAGTCATTTTATGCCTTATCAGTTGATTGTGAACAATCTAGTTAGTTATTAAGAACCCGTTTGGTGACTTTGTTTTTTCGCCTTATCAGACTTATCAAACAACTTTCAATCAAACACGTAACTTTTGATTTCGGGCATTGAATTGTGTAATAATAAGAAAATGTATAGTTAGAGTTACTTTTCTAGCTGTATTGATTGAAGTTATTGTAAACTATCATTTTAGCTATTATTTGATATAATTTTTTCTTTATTTTGTTAACAGAATATATTTTAAATATAATATTACATAAATTAGCAGAATCAGTCAACACAACCACTTCAGTCAGACTTTCATAAATTTCAACAGAATCAAAGCCGATTTGAGTGTTACTAAATAGGTTCCAAATATTTTATTTCACTCTTTTAGTGATAGCACTTGATCAAAATAAGTAATAGAATGCACTAATATCAATCGAGTAATACAAGCAACTATGAACTATTAGGTCATGGCACCTTAGATTGCCAAGTGGGCCGGTGGGAATTGGGTTGGAATTTGGGAGCACTATTCTTTCATTTCGTTCTTGTTCGAAATACAGTAATTGAACGAACCACTTAAATCGTTATATTATGAAGAATTTATTTTTAACAGGACTGGAGCCCAACAATGCCACTGGAGACTTGACTGTGGATCAGTACCATCGATATAAAGTACAGTATTTATTGTTGATGATATGCACTCACCAATTACATTATTCTTTCTTTTTTCCCTTGCACCCAGTTTGGCCTTGTTAAGGGTTTTACCGAACGAATTGAGTGAATCTCCGGGAGCATCTCTAATGGGTTATTCTTAACAACTTGCTTGGAATTTTTAAAAGAAAATTCAATCGACTATGAATAGAGCTGTCAAAATGAGTTAAAGTTCATAGGGCTTGCCCATTTCATCTCAGTTTACGGTGGATTAGAATTGTCATTGTTCAATCCGATGAACTCACTCAGGGGCGGATTTACCATGTAATCAATGGGGGCACATGCCCCCAATAAAATTCATAACTTTAAGGTAATATGAATATGTATTATTAACAAACGAAGGTAGTGCCCCCAATCCAAAAACTTGATGCCCCCATTAATTTATACGGACTCAAATACGGAGTATAGAGAATTGGTGTTCAAAGCAGCAAATGTGGAGTACACTCGGCAAGCCCACCCCGATGTCCCATCCATCTAATTTATAATTGTAAAATATTTAATTTAGTGATATGATCAAACCCCAACTATTCGACATACTCTTGGACAGTTAAAACAGTATCCACAACAGATTCACCGTCCAAAATTAATTTGTTCATTTTTAAGAAGAAAGTTAAAAAGTTTTTTTTTTATCGTAAAAAATTTAAAGGGAAAATGGAAACTAATAATCAAATATTTTAGCGGTCTTCTTATAATAGTCCCACCTTTTCGTTATTCATAAATAATCCAACTTTTGCACCTCATCTTCATTCACTGGTCCCTGATCGGTTGATGACCCGTTATTCCAAGTTATTTTCTTATCTTTGCAAACCATTATACCATAAATCTAACCTTTCACAAAGATAATATTTTGCATAGATAAGAAAATAACTTGGAATAGCAGGTCATTAACCGGTCAGGGACCAGCGAATGAAGATGGGGTGCAAAGGTTAGATTATTCTTGAGTAACAAAAAGGTGGGACTATTGTAAGAAGATTGCTAAAAGGTTGGATTATTAGTTGTTCACTGTAATATGTACAAAACACGAGTAAATGAATGAAATTATCATTGACTTTGCCGGTTTTTGAAATTAATTTATACAACTTTTGTTCTTTTTTAATTACAACATGTTGAATTTTATATTACTAAAATGTCTACTTTGACTACATTTTATTTTTTGGTGTATTAAAATTTTAATTTTGAAAAATAGTATTAATTTCTTCTCATTTTCTATTTTCAAATTCTAATTCCTAATTTTTTCACTAATAAAAATTGAAATATATTAATGGCGATTTTCTGGAAAACGTGAAAATGGAAACATTGCAACTAAAACGAAACGGTGGAAGTGTTTGTTATCCAATTGTTTGTCCACATTTTTTTAAAAAGTGCCCCCAATAACTATAATTCCTGGATCCGCCCCTGAACTCACTGTTGGAAAAATGTGTGAAAAATTGCATTAAATGGTAATTTTGGGGCAATTTTTTGAGTGGGGTCCACTTCCGATTTGGGTCGGGTCAAAGTGGTTTCGGATTGTCCTTGTTAAGGGCTAAAATTCGATATATGGAACGCTCAAAACGGATAACGGGTGAATGAGAAATGGCTTTTCGAAGTTTACCCGTTAGAATGGAAAAACTGAGAAAAAGGATGGGTTTCTATGTGTTAATTTCCCACACCGGAAAACCCAAGGGATTTGCAACCCTTTATAAAGGGACTCCCACCTTATGGAGTTAAGATTCCTAAGGGTAAAGGCTCTCTCCACGCGCGGGGGGGGGGGGGGGGGGGGGGGGTTGCAAATCAAATCCCGAAATCGGAGAAGAAAAACCGCGACTTGCGTGCGCGGGCGACCTGCGGACACGAATGTCGCTATCTCTCAAGACATTCGTTTATTTTTTCCCAATGACAGAAGTGCGTAGCGGCAGAGACGCTCCGGATAGAAGGGCTCGACTAGAACACCTCGGTTTTTGTTTTCTTCCCGAAACGTTTATTATTTCCCAATGACAGAAGTGCCTAGCGGCAGAGACGCTGCGGACAGAAGGGCTCGACCAGAACACCTCGGTTTTTGTTTTCTTCCCGAAACGTTTATTTTTTCCCAATGACAGAAGTGCCTAGCGGCAGAGACGCTCCAGACAGAAGGGCTCGACCAGAACACCTCGGTTTTTGTTTTCTTCCCGAAACGTTTATTTTTTCCCAATGACAGAAGTGCCTAGCGGCAGAGACGCTCCGGACAGAAGGGCTCGACCAAAACACCTCGGTATGGTGTTCTGGTGGCTCCGGACAGAAACCCTCGACCAAACTTAGTGAATGAAAGAAAAAGAAAATGTCGGAGAAAATTAATGAGATGGAGGATATACTCCCTCCGTCCGTTAAGATTGTCCTATTTTACCTTTTCGGGAAGTCCCACTAAGATTGTCCCATACCAAATTTGGTAAAGTTTGTGTGGCTCTAAATCATTCTTACTTTATTCTTACTTTATCAATTTAATATCAACCACACAAACCCACTTTTCTTAATAATCGTGTCACTTTCTCTTGTCCCAATCTTAGTGGGACGGAGGTAGTAATAATTATCATATTTTGGAAAGAAATAAGAAAAATTTTATAAAACCCAAATAAGGGAGAATTTCCAAGCGTTTATGAAAAAAGAAATAGAGAGTAATTTTTTGTTTTAATAATGGCTAAAAATTATGAATTATTTTTTATTTTTGAGTATTTGGATTATGTAATACTGGCGAGTGAAAAATTTTACTTAAAATTTTATCTAATTTTATATAGAACAAATTTCTATAATATTGGAATACATAGGAGTAGAGTTTTGGAAGTTGAATAGCTTTTTCTTTAATTTATTGTATTGCCACGTGTCATTTATTTATACAAAGGATGTTGCCACATGTCAACAATTCCTCTAAAGAGTTCTATAGGGGTTTGCTTTATTAGATCATATAGATATAGATATTGAAGCTACTAGTTTATCATCGCGGTACATCTTTTTTTCTAGATTGGACAAACAAATTAACCAATACATGCTTCTTGTTAGAAAAGAAAGAAGTTTGAATTAGGATGTTTTTACTTGGACTGTAATTTGCTGGTCTGGTCTGGTTTGAACTGGTCTGGTCTGATAAAGTCTGGTTTCTTTGTATTTTTATAACTATCCAAGTCTGGTCTGGTCTGAATTGGTCTGGACTGGTTTGGTCTGGTTTGGTCTGGTTTGGTCTGGAACAAATTACAGTCCAAGTAAAAACATCCTTAAAATGATAATTACCATTTTAGTAAATTAAAAATCAAACAGTAAAGTAAAATATTACTCTCTTCGTCCTGTTAAGATTGTCTCATATGTCATTCGGTTCGTCTCACCAGGGCCGTTTTTTAACAAGTTCAATGGGTCATCTGGAATAGAACCCACCAAAATTTGGGCCCCCAATTTTTTAGTATTAGTATTACAATATAATTATATTACATAATATTTATATGTAGTTATTTTAAATCATGTTTTTTCTATATGAACACTTGAACACAACTAATTTTGTTGAACCATGTGAGTTGTTATTATATGTTATTTTATTTTTATTCACCTATGGGGCCTCAATATTGCATTTGGAACCGGGACTCCCAATTCTTTAGACGACCCTGCGTTTCACTAAGATTGTCTCATACCAAATTTGGTGAAGTTTGTGTGATTCTAAATCTCTTTCACTTTATTCTTATTTTATAATTTCAATATCAACCACATTAACTCATTTTTCTTAACAATCGCATCAACTCTCCATGTCCCAACGTTAGTGGGATGGAGGTAGTACAATACAACGGTAAAGACCCAAGAGTGATTTTATTTATTTTGAATTGATGTTGTTTAATTTAGTATATTTATTTTATTGATATTGTTTAATTTGGTATATTTTATTTTATGTAATGTTTTTACTTTGTTAATTTTAAGAAATGTTGAATTTTCTCTTGAAATATTTGAAGTTGATGCTTTTTCAGTATGTATGTGTTGTTCGAATTTCCTATTTCTTACTTTTCTTAACGTAACAAAATACATATTTTTTTACTAATTTTAAAAATATGTCTTTTCATATTATTCCCGTTTAATAATAATAACACTGATAATTTTGGTATAAAAATATCATTGACATTTTCCCAATTTAAATGTATTTCGAAACAAACGCAACGTGTTATTTTTATTGTATTAATAAATCAATTCATTGAAAATGTTGATTTTCAAAATTGATTGCTTTGTGGGTCCTTTTTTTTCGAATGTCACCTAGATAGGTGAGGTAAATTTCAGGGAACATTTATCAAATTTATTATATGAGAATGTAGGAATAGATTACATGAGATACATTACAATATGGTTGAGAAAACAAAAACAACTTAAAATAAGGAAAAAGACTACAGTAACCTAAATTAGATTTTGGATCCTATTCAAGAGACAAACGTTGTAGTTAACCATTAGACTATCACATTGTTGGATCATGAATGAATAAAAAAAATGATGTGACAAGCAAAACTATAATGTGTATAGCTAGCTATTATAGATGCTCTAAACTGCTCTGCTTGTAATCAGTGAAAGGATTGGAGTTAGGGGCCGGATCTTGTATATAATTTTATACCGTAGGGGTTGAAGTTTAAAGTTTTGACATATTTTTGACATATTGTAAGAAAATTAATGTGTGTGTGTGAGAGAGAGAGGATTCTAATGAGAATTCATCTTAAATGATACATAATAATTGTTTATAATGACAACTTTTAATCTCAAATTTTCATTTATTGTAATCATTTGTTAATATTCATGTCGTGTCATATTAATAATTAGCCTAAATTCATGTGGGGCTTTTTACAATTAATTCTAAATAATTACTAGTAGAATATTAACCTTGTGAATATTAACCCGTGCTTGTAAAAATGATTGATTGAAGATTAAAAATTCTAAGTTTAGAAATAGAAAGTGTTCTCACTCTAAGCTGGGTTTTTATAAGAATCTTGTCATGTGTGTGCACACTGAAATTCTTTTTTGGGGGTCGGAGCGTGAAGCCCTTCCAACCCCTCTCTTTAAGAACCAATCATTGATTTCATCTAGTGAAATATGAGAAAAATCTTGAACATAGTTTGTCATAAGAGAAAAAAATAAAAATGACCACCTTCAGCTACTTCACCAACTTAACACGTGTCAAAAACTAGAATGTTACGATAGAAAATGTGGTTGGTAAATTTAAATTATAGATGAGCCAAGAAAATAGCACTACGTATTTGACTATCTAACCAAGTAATTATAGAAGTTTTTTCTTTTTGAAAGGTAATTATAGAAGTTCCTACAAGTAACAGAGAAATTTCTACTACGCTGTAATTAATTAAGTAAATAGTACTTCATATGTATCACAATAAAAGTCTCACTAGGCTTTTCATGTAGTTTAAGATAGTTTATAGGTTTACAGTACACTTTTTGAAAAAGTATGAGTTTTTTGGTATTGTAGTAGTACTCTTTACTTTATTAAAATGTATTGTAGCTACTTTTGGGATTGAATTATTTCTTAAAATGGAAGTGAGACACTTATTTTGATACTGTTAAAAAAAATGTGGGACATTATTGTGATAAGGAGGGAGTACTTTCTTTGTTGGGGGGCTATTCTAGCATTGCATTCATTAGATGTGTATATATTAAAGGTGCCTAGACTACTAACAAAAATTCTAATGTTATGTTATACAGGAAGATATTGACCTCATGGCCGAACTGAATTTTGAGGCCTACCGTTTTTCAATTTCATGGACACGGATATTCCCAAGTATGTTTTTCTTTCTGTTAAGGCTTACATTGGGACTTAGGGGCCTTGAGTATTTTTTTTTTCTTAAATAATTCCTAATGTATAATCAAAATAAGAATAATTGACAAAAATATGATATCGTTACTTTTAGTAACTAGTAATGTTCAGATTTTACATTATAGTGATTATGTGATGAATTCTATGCTCTAAAAATGTTTTTAATATGTACTACACATATAATATCATAAGAACTTTATCAATTTGGGACCTGAAAAATATGCAAATAATCGATTCGGTGTCTGAACGGTGAAAAACTATCAATCATTTGGTTCCTATACCGTACATTTCATCTTTGAGATCCCGGATTGACAATTGATCTATCTTTCATGTCCTGGATTGATAAAAATCCTATATAATACTCATATTGATTGTATTTTGATTGAAATTTTATGATATGAATTGATTTGGTAAATTATGATGTTACACACCCCATCTATCCCTTATAGCATAGTCAACTTTCCTATATGGGTGTTCTTAAAGATACCCACTTTTCCATTTAGATAATAAATTTGTGGTTCTTATTTATTTTATCTCACCCTTGTTGTTAAGGATCGATTCCATTCGCCGGAATTTTGATTCAGATCACCTGAACACTAGATCTGTTCTGAGTATTGCACCACCCCATCCTAAGGGAGCAACACACTCTACCTAGTCTTGCCTCGCTACCGTATTCACTCCACAAAGAAGAAACCATCACCAAGAGAGGGTAGAAATCTCACAAAGAGACATACTATCTTTGAATTATTAGCTAAGTACAATAGGATTTCTCATATAATACACACCACCCACCTCAAATATACGAGCACACACATCTCACATATAGTACAATTTTAATAGGATGCAAGGATAAATATATGAAAGTTATGCAATATGTAATGGACTGCTAGGTAAGGTATTAGATATTATTAATATAATGACCGTTGGGTCAATAGTTTACTAACAATACCTCAATTTTAAAAACAAATAAATAACCTTTGATAACTTTCATGATTCCCTTTCCCCATATTCCCTTGAAACCATCATTCTCAAAAGAAACACAAGTTAACAAATTGTAACAAAAATTTGGAACATGCCTAACATTATTCAAAGTAAGCAGACATCTAGAAGAAAATATGAGACATACATCACCTAGTTCTATTAGCACATTGCATCTTTTCTCATTTTCCATAAACACATATTCATGCTCAATCTCCCAATATAGTTTCAAACATTCAAACATGGACATATGGAAGTACATCAGAGTCTACTAACCAATCTAATTTACACATGGAATCAGATATCACAAAACTCAAATAGTCATAATCGCGCAGATTATTATTCATCATAAAAGCATCACCTAACTCATCTTCACACGTAAGCATATTAACATTCTCAATATGCTTCCCTAGATTTAGCAAAGTCTTTTACTAAGTATTCAAGTTGATGACAACTATAGCAACACTTCATGTTAGACCTAGACTTAGATCAACCTCTTATATGATTATTTCTACCTCTCACATGCATATCCTTTTCGGATTTTCTACCCTCATGTATGTGTTTTAAATCTTATTCCTTACTCTTAAGATTGTTAACCACAATGTCAAAGGTCACATCATATCTACCATAGTTTATAGCAAATTTCACATTACTACAGGAATCAGGAATGTCTTTTAAAGGAGTAATACATGTATACTCATCTATATTCTTATCACCACACAATTTAATATCATAAATAAGTTTGATACAAACATCTAGATTTTCATCAATATCCCTAGACATATCAGGTTTAAAATTGAAAAACTTTTCAAGTAAAAAGATCTGATCATGCGAAGAGGTTTCAATGTACAGTTCTTCTAATTCATTCCACATATTTAGAACTTTTTAAAATTTCAACTTTTCTAATCACACAATTAAGCAAGTTCAAATAAATTACAAAACATGCATTTTTGTTCATTTCTACCCTTTTATCTTTAGTGTCAGAAAGTAAATATGCTTCACCAACTGCTTTAAATATATTTTTAATTAAAATGCATTTAATTTTTTGCTTCCACATGCTAAAATGAGATTCTCCATTAAACAGAGCCATACATACTGATTAAAAGTCATTTTCACAAAGAAAACAAGCAACTAAAAATGTAAATTTAGCTTAAAAGCAATTTAAATATTACTACGTATAAGACTATGAAATATACGAAACAACTAGAATAAACAAACACGAAATAGCAATGAGCACAAAGTTCTGGATCAAACCTCTTGTTCTTTCGTATAAGCACAAATAAATGATAAATTTCCAACACAACATTCACAATATCGGAATTACCGAATTTTTAAGAATAGTAATAAACCCTCATCGGGAGCCATCAGATCTCTAAACACATAAAGTGGAATCACTTTAAAGGCGGTAAAAGGAGTTTCAAACCAAATTAAGTGAGCGGAACCCGATATTTTGACGGATAAATTTCCCAAAAATAGTGCACAAACCCAACATCACTAGTCAACTCCTTGAGTCCCTTTGTACTTATGTCCTCCTGTAGTTCTAGCTTCTAGCTTCCGACTTCAACATTGAGCAGGGGTGTCTTTAGCACTTGCGTACTCCGTAATATTCATTGGTCACTGAAGTTCATATTTAATAGTTCCAAAATTAAGAACACTTTACTAATTAAAGTTGATTAACTCTTTTTCATACTTTATCCTTTTATACATCAAGTAATCTTTTTTACATGTTTCAGAACCATACTGAAATTTTGCATTGCTAAAAAAAACTAGCTTTATAAGGAAATATATATCGGTCTCTTTATTAGAAAATTAATAAAACAATCACTCTATAAATCCTATTTTTTTATGAAATAAATCCTTGTCTTCACTTTTCTATATTTACATGTAACAATAACAAAAATTTAGCAAATAAGGTCAAGATAAAAGAAGAAAAAAGTGAAAATGAAAACAATCTCAAGTATACTTTTAAATAATATGTTCAAATGATATATTGTTCAAACAAGAAAAATATACTATCGTATTTTCTTTTTTCGAGTTTTAAATAACAAATGTTTTTCAAATTAACATGTTGCCTTTGTTAGTTTTTAACTAACTTCTCGATTGATTTTTTTATGAAATTTTGTGTACATAATCTATACTCCATAAAAACATGCTCATAAAATGTAATCAAAATATTCCACCCGATAACACCCGGTTTTTCCATAGGGCACATCCGGTCAGGCACCTTTGAGGTGAACGAGACTCTTTGTGTGTGTGTGTGTAATTTGTGTGTGTATAATTATTTATCTACACGTGTGTGTAGATGGAACTGGGAAAATAAACTGGAAAGGAGTTCGATACTATAATCGGCTGATCAATTACATGCTACAAAAAGGTAAATAATATTCTAAAGAAAGAAGTGTTTAGTTGTGCAACACTATAGGTTTGTATGTGTGTGTGTTCAAACATAGACTTTGTGCTTGTTTTGCAGGCATTACTCCATATGCAAATCTAAACCATTATGATCTTCCTCAAGCCCTTCAAGATAGATACGGAGGTTGGTTGGACCGCCGAGTCATGTAAGTTTTCTTGGTCAGAGATATATTTAATGAGGGTAAAAATGTATCTTGAACTACGTCAGACAAAATTGTGCTCACGCATATATGGATGAATTTGCAGAAAGGACTTTGCTGATTACGCAGAATTCTGCTTCAAAACATATGGAGACAGAGTCAAAAACTGGTTCTCGTTTAACGAGCCGCGGGTTGTGGCGGCTCTAGGGTACGATAACGGATTTTTCGCCCCAGGAAGGTGTTCTAAACCTTTTGGGAACTGTACACATGGTAACTCTGCAACAGAGCCTTACATTGTTACACACAATCTTATTCTCAGTCATGCGGCAGCGGCTCAGAGGTATCGCACCAAGTACCAGGTAGCCCCCCGTTTGCATTTGGTACTGTCATTTGTAGGGATGGAAAGAAGATATCCCTTTTTTCTTAACTATTATTGGATTGGATTAGATTGATCGTAGTTGGTGATTGTTTCAGGCAACACATGGAGGGAGATTTGGCATTCTGTTGGATTTCGTGTGGTATGAACCTCTTACAAGATCAAAGGCCGATAATTATGCTGCTCAAAGAGCTAGAGACTTTCATATTGGCTGGTAATCCTTATAACTACTTCACTGCGGACTCTAATGGTTTGGAAATGTTCTTAAGATTTTGTTTCTACCTTTAGACCTTGCAATTTTACATAATTGGCAGTTTTAGGTTTTCATGTGATATATAAACATCTAATTCTAATCATTATTGAAATGATATCTCCAGTAGGCGAACCAAGTGATATTTGAGAAATATTCACTGATTGATATGGTATGCCCAACTTCTGGCTCTAATAATTGCATACAGGGTTTTACATCCTCTGGTGTATGGGGAGTACCCAAAAACAATGCAGAATATTGTTGGGAACAGGCTACCTAGGTTTACACCAGATGAGGTTAAGATGGTCAAAGGATCAATTGATTATATTGGCATAAACCAGTATACTACTTACTACATGTATGATCTGCCCCCTACAAACGGGTCACGTATACCCGGTTACCAGAATGATTGGAATGTCGGATTTGCTTGTAAGATGATTGAATTACAGTATACCCTTTGATTCATTGTGCGTGCATGTATATTCATACTAATGATTGGATGCCTTTGACTTGCATACCACAGATAATCGGAGTGGAGTGCCAATTGGTCCGAGGGTGCGTCCAAAGGCTCTTCTTTTTAAGATTATTTACTATACGGTCAAGTGATCATTTAATCATACATATTGTGAAAGTTTGTTTAATAACTTATCTGTGTTGGAATGTTGATGACTTATGCCTCTCTTGATTTTAGCCTCATTTTGCCTTGTGTGGCAAGCAAACAATCTGGAACACTTCCAAAACTCACAATGCTTATCAATACACCATGCATCTTAGCTCACTTTTCAAGTTATCAATTTTAAAGAAAGTGGCGCAAACCGTCAATAGGTTGTGGATTCAAAAGTGAGTTAAGGTGGATGGTTTTTCAGAAGCGGAATGACTTCCAAGAGTGTTTCATGCCATGTAAGACAAAATTAAACAAAAACACTATCATAGACTTGTGTTATCATTTTTGTACTACAAAAATGCAATTTTAATTTGTGTTGTGATGGATCAAGTTGCAAATGATAATTTTTTTGAACATTCTGTTCCGATTTTTTTGTAACGGATCAAGTGGTAAATGTCCATTTTTTTGCAGTGTAGAGTTAGGGTGCCCTTTTTATTCTTAAATACATAAATGAGGGTTACATATATAGTTAAATGACCAAGGCATATGAGTTATTTCGTCTATTTTCTTAATTCTTGGTTGGTTGGTTTGATGTTTTTTCATAGGCGCATTCTGACTGGCTCTACATGGTGCCATGGGGATTGTACAAAGCTATCAATTACGTAAAAGAGCGGTATGGCAATCCACTAATGTTCTTGTCTGAAAATGGTAAGGATCACATGGACATTTAATTAAAACAGAAAATGAAGAAGGATACAAATAAACATGTTGGACATTCCTCACCTCTCTCTTTAATTTATAGGAATGGACTATGCTGGCAATCTGACACTATCTGAATCTCTAAATGACACAATAAGGATCGATTACTACAATAGCTATTTGACTCAACTGAAGAGGGCAGTTGATGATGGAGCCAACTTGTTTGGCTATTTTGCATGGTCATTGCTTGATAACTTTGAGTGGAGATTAGGCTACACATCGAGATTTGGCATTGTCTATGTTGATTTCAAAACACTCGAGAGATACCCTAAGATGTCAGCCTACTGGTTTCAGAATTTCCTTAGTAGAAAGAAGCATTAGCGTGCCCCCATGCAATTATGTATGCGAAATCCAATCTCAAATATATGTACTTCATCACATGTGTATATTTTAAGGTGTTTCCCCTAGTTGGTCAATCTTAAACACTAGGAGCTCATGTGGTATTATGCAATAAAAGTTCTCATATGTTGTTTTGAAACACAAGTAAAACACTTCAGGAGGTTGGGATTCATGTAGTTGATCATCCTTGGTAGTTGCTAGAGTCAGTATTTTACTTAAAATATTTGATTGGACAAGAATAAAGGGAGTTTGTGTAAGAAATTTATTAAGAAATAGTGTTCAATGTGATACTTGATAATACTGCGTACGAAGTATTATTTAAATCGGTGTTGAGGAATTTAAATAAAATAATATCAATTATAATCTTCAAATTATTAGACATGTAAATTACTTTTTCCTCGTAATAATGGTGTCTTACTAATAATAATGTTTTTAAATGTTATAGTACCTCTGTCCTGAAAAGATTCACCATATTGACTTTTCTTAGTCAATGATGTCGAACTTTGAACAATAATTTTAATTATTATATTTGTATATATATTATAATTTTATACTTTTATGAAAATATTTTGAATAATGAACATTCTGATATAATTTCATATTCAAAATAATTTTGCATTTAAAAATATCATTGATCAAAGTTGGTTGCCATTGATCAGGAAGAGTCAATTTGGCGAAAATTACGGAAGAGATGGAGTGTGATGATTTAGTGGTCATGTACGAACATGAAGTTGACAAGTAAATACTAAAATAACCATGTCATAATAATCTAGCACGTGCATGGTACTATGGTAGTGGGAATATTGAACTTTTGTATTTCAAATTGCCATTTCAGATTATCATGCATGGACGTGCTTCACTCGAATGAATATGTTGGTATGAGACAAACAAACTCGATGTTGTAGGCTCGTGATAATGCAATTGCCTGAATCATCTATATTGATTTTTCGAAGTGTTTATGTATTTTTACTATACTTCTACGAGGCCTATTCGCACATCAGAGTAGGTTTATCATTTATAAAACTTGTCTAGGAATTCTTCGAGTAAATATTAAAAAAATGATCAATCGCGAATTTGATCTCATGACCTCTATAACTCAAGCCTTTTTTTCAGATTCTTTCCTTAACCATTGAGCCAATAGTATTTCTTATGCATTCATGGTTACATAACTATAACAAAAAAAAAGATTAAAATAAATTAACCACAAGTCCATCTTATTCTAAAACCAAACTCAATTTTGACTAAACCGAAAGATGTGTAAATACCCCGCCCCCTAGAGTCCGAGGTAGTTATGTCTGAATGTCATTCGGGCCTCTAGTAATCCTCGCAAATCAACACAAATCTTTACTACGTACTTTGTCCTCGTGCGTGTCTATAGAAACTTTCCGAGGTCACCCATCCCAAGACTACTCCTATGCAAGCATGCTTAACGTGGAGTTATTAACTGATGAGCCCCTTAAAAAGAGACGCATCTCATTGGTATGAGTAGTACTATTAATCCCCCCTTTAAATTAATCTAAAGTATTACAATACGGCTGTTGTTTGAAACTCCCATTACCGTACATGTGTTGTGGAGACCCTCAACCACAATCACCGCTTCCCTACTGGCCTCATCGGCCACCTCAACTACACGAGTGACTCACATGAAAGCCGCCGTGAGGATTGGTTGAAGAAGACATCTCGAAAGACGTGATGCATAAGAGTGAGATATAAAAAAACGGGAGAACCAACAGCCTGGTCCTCATCATGAGGATAGAGTATGCATTGTTCGTGTGTGACCGATTTAATTCGTTCAAAAGTTATGAAAGGTAAGATCTTCAACAAATAGTGTGACAACACAAAAAAGAGATTCACACTCGGGGCCTACACAAAAAATGGTAGGTTGAAGAAGGCCATCAAGGGAAACCAGAGTCAACAATAATCTTGATTTTTTTAGATATTGATATATAATTTGAATCTCCTTTTTTTACATCATTAAGCATTTTACAGCATTGATCAAGCTAGACCGACAAACGTAAAACGTGACTCTAATTTTATCCCATACAGCAGTTGAGTTTTATTCAAATCTTGAACCTCCCACTACTATATGGTGAGAAAGAGTAGTAAAGAGTTAAGATCGAGTAGTTTGGTATACTTTAAGTCAATGATGGATTCATGTTTTGACGATGGTGGACATACAAAAAATATAAAGGAGGAATTGTGTCGTCCAAAGTGCAGAGGAGACGATGTAAGACCTAAAAAGATTCAAATCGGACCCCCCAGACTTTTTAAATACTATTAGCTTTTAGTGACTGAAAATATCTTAACAAAAGTTTGAACCTATTTGATAAAAGGTGACTATTTGATCTAGTTCTGTTTTGTATTTGTATATATAACAAGTTATTGTGAATTATTTATGTTAAAAGTTACAATGTTTTTTCTCAAATGCTTCTAAAAAAAACTTTTATTTTGAAGAAAAATCTTAAAGATTGTTATGTCAAACATACAACTACATGCTTTTAGGGACATTTTAAATAGTACAGAAGCTAGAAGTAGATTTATGTGTACTAAACATGCACATCATATATATAATGAATTTGAGTTCCGAATACATAAAGATCATACCAAATGTACAAAACCTATTTTAGGTGTTAACTATGATATTAATTTTTTGAAAGAATTAGGTTAGATTCGTAGCTAGGAAGCATCTTTTAATTTCCATAACTTTGTTTTTACCAAAATATAAAACCGAAAGATAGAGGAAAATGAGACATGGACGACCTAAAAAATAAAAAGGGGTAATGATCAAATTGGACACCATTTTTTTTAAACAATTTTATTCATAAATGTAAAAAGTACAGTGCAAGAAGTAAAAAAGTACAAGAAATAACGAAAAATTGAAAAACAAAACTAGACCCAAAGGGAAATCTCTGGAATGTGATCTAGTCCGCATGCTATGGCGCCTTTTATTCTGCTGAGATTTCCTGTAAAGCTTGAGTTGCTTGTTCAGGTTGTCTATTGGCAGACAGTTTTCGGAAATGACAAACTTTGATTTACGACAAATCGATCTGTTGAATTTGGAGTTTCCAATTTCTTCCAGGTTTGATAAAGGAGGGTGAAGATCACTTTCAGTTGTATGTCCTAGAAAATCGTCTGAGAAGAAGGATTCATCAGAATGATCGAAGCTATCCGAGGCATCAGATTGGACACCATGGTTACACATGAATATCATATTTGAAACTAAGATTTCAAATGAATCAAATTGGACATTATAGTTACGTGTGAATCTCATATTGAACACTAAAATTTCAATAGACCAAATAAGCATGAATTTAAAGTTTTTAGGCATTTCTGAAAACTCACCTAAGATTTATCATATTCTATCAATGAAAGTCATTAGTATTCCTTCTCCTTTACTTTTTATACCTAAACATAAAAATAACTTAACTTTTGTGTTTAGATTTAGAATATGTAATTAGATGTTCCAATTAAGAAAAATCTATTATCGTGTAATTGAGTTATTTAATATTGTGAAATCAATTCAACGAATCGATATTTCCTAAAGTTTCACAAAAACTAGTTCAAATGAAAAGTCCAAAATTATTTGTTAACTCTATAGTTTGTTCTTAATTAAAATCAAATTATATATTCTAATACATCGAATTAAATATTCTAAACCTAAACACATTAATTAAATTAGTTTATTGACACACAAAAAAGATAAAGTAAGACTAACGATTGATATTGAACAAAGAAAGGAATCGTAGTAAATGTTCAAAAATGATAAACAATGAAACGTTAGTGCCAATATGGGAATCATATAATCCTAGTGTTCAATTTAATCTACTCCGTATTTAAGACTCTAGTAGCCAATATCAAATACTCCCTCCGTCCCAAAAACAACTTCCCACTTTTCTTAAATGGATGTCCCAAAATTAATTTCACACTTCAATACTTTCCTTACTTGGCAAATTACCTACATCAAAACAATGTCAAACAGTGTACAAACAGTGTCAAACAGTGTTTGAACAGTGCACTCAACAGTAAAGTCAAATTTATTTACTTAAACTGTGTGATTGTCAAACTGTGAAGTTGTATTATATACTCCGTAAGTACTACCTTCGTCCCCGAAAGAAGTTTCCCATTTGACTTTCACACACTTTTATGCAAGTAAACTTACCAGGGGGTAAATTTTACTGTTTTGACACTGTTTGACACTGTTTTGCACTGTTTGGCACTCTTTTGATGTAAATAACTTTTTCCATTTAAGGAAATGAGAACTTAAATTAGTGACATCCAAATAAAGAAAGTGAGAACTTAGATTTTTCGGGGACGGAGGGAGTATATATATACCACAATATCCAATTTGATTTTTCTCCCAAACAAAAAAAAAAAAAAAGAGAGAGAAAGACGGACCCTAATTTTATTTTTTCACAAGGCTTTATTATCAGCAGCCTCGTCTGTCCATCACTAATCCGGTCTGAGAATAATAGACCGTATCCGGCCCATCTCTGCAGCGAAACCCTAATCGTCCCAAGTTAGGTTTTACACTTGCTTTCATGGAGCAGTAGTATATAAACGAAGAGTTGTGCTTCTTCTATTTCTCGGCCACCACGCTTGTGATCAAAGCGAAACACCGATTAACACAGTTAGACGATAATGGCTCAGGAATGTCTCGTCCTCCGCGGAGTCATGAAGGGCCATACCGATTGGGTCACGGCCATCGCAACCCCCATCGACAACTCCGACACCATCGTCACCGCTTCTCGTGACAAATCTCTAATCTTGTGGAACTTAACCAAGGATAGCCAACAATTCGGCGTCGCCAAACGCCGCCTTACCGGCCACTCGCACTTCGTTCAGGACGTTGTTCTTTCCTCTGATGGCCAGTTCGCGCTTTCTGGTTCTTGGGACGGAGACCTCCGTCTGTGGGATCTTCAGACTGGAATTACCGCCCGCAGATTCTTCGGTCACACCAAGGACGTACTTTCTGTGGCATTCTCCGTCGATAACCGTCAGATTGTTTCCGCTTCCCGTGATCGGACAATCAAGCTCTGGAACACTCTCGGCGAGTGCAAGTACACCATCCAGGAAGTTGATGGTCATGGCGATTGGGTCTCCTGCGTCCGTTTCAGCCCTAACAATCTCCAGCCTACTATTGTTTCTGGGTCATGGGATAAAACCGTGAAGGTCTGGAATTTAACCAACTGTAAGCTTCG